ATGAAATAACTAAAACACTCCTGATTTGGAAAAGAGAGAACATCTTGTGTGGAAATACATAGGAGAAAATAATAGTAAAATCTTTCTGAATTATATGAATGATAATCTAATTCTTTAAAATGTCATAATTCTAATTAAGTTTTTAGAAACTTCTTTGTCAATAAATTTTAAATTAAAAAAATTATTTTACTTTTATTGATAAGTTATGATTTTGTGTTTAATTCTTGTAATTCTTTAAATAAAAGTCATTATTATTTAAATAAAAATTTTTAATGGTGTTTGTTATTTTGAAAACTTATTTTTTAATAATAGAAATTATACTTGATAAATTATGATTTTTTATTCAATTCTTACTTTTCACCAGAAAAAAGTTATTATTTTTTAAGTAAAAGTTGTGATTGAGACTTGTTTTTAAATAATAGAAATTATGCTTCATCAGTTGTGATTCTTGTTCAACTCTTATAATTTACAAAATAAAAGTTGTAATTGAAGCTTATTATTTTTAATAAAAATAAAATAGTCTTTTCATTTTAAAATTTTTTGACACAGAAGCCTACAGGGATTTCATTAAAATTATAATATTTTGAAGGACCAGCTTATCATTTATATAATTTTAAAAAAATTTATTATCATTTTTTCAATATTGAACCTTGCATGTGAAAACCTAACATTTTTTTGGTAAAAATTCAAAATTTACTTGTTATTTTGCCAAATTTTTTCCAACCTTGGATAAACACAGAACCTATACATGTGGAAGCCATATATGCACTTGTAAAGGAATAAACTCGTCCTTGTCAATAATTAGAGCTTGCTCGTTAATTGTTAGAGAAACTTGGATAAATATTATAGTACAAGGAAATGCTCGGTTTTTTTACAAGAAAATGTTTGATTTTTATAAAAAAGAAATGTCTGGGCTTTACATGTATAATTTTTTTTTTCCATGCTAGATGTTCTTTTCTCAAATTAGGAGCACTTCAATCATTTTTATATTTAGAAATATTTTCTAAGTGAGTCCCGTGAACCTGCAGTTCAGATTTTATTGGGCATTCTTTGAAATTAAGTGAGTTTAGGAGGTTCTAGATGAGATTCTCCCATATTAAAACTCAATCCGGGATGACTAATTAGAACAATGAACCGGTACATCAATTCTTTAATCAGCTTAGTCAAGAGTTTTGGATGGATGAACATGTTAAATTAATATTATATATATATATATATATATATATATTTGCCCTCATCACTAAGCCCGAAACGCATGTTTTAAGTTAATCAGACTGAGTTGATTACAGTTTCACTAAGACCTGCACCATTGACTCTATTGTCTTGATCATTCAATGAATGATAATGATCGGTCCTGTTTCAATGCCTTTGTTTTTGGTGGGTCCAAAAATTAAAATTCAAGAAAGAATTTCAATTAAAATTCAAGAAAGAGGCTTAATTTTTGGTGGTCCAAAGATATTTTTAAACTTCAATTTAATTTGAGGTAGAAAAGTCAAAAGAATTTAATGATGAAAAGATCAGAATACCTTTAACCTATTAGCAAATTACTAGTTATTAATTTTTTATTTTACTTATTAATTTACAAATATGAGTTATAAATTATATAAGTTGACATGTCAATAATTATATAAGACTTGATATTAGTTTTTAATCATAAACCGCAACATAAATTAACAACTAATGTTACTAATTGTTTGACAAACAGATATAATTTTAAAATGATATTAATAAATTAAAAAGTACAATAAGAAAATTAATTAGTGATTTTGCATAACACTTGAAGAGTATTTTAGTTTTTTTATCATAAAAATTTTTTTGACTTTTTTTAGATTAAACTGAAATTTTCAGAATATTTTTGGATTCATTTAAAATTAAATCTCTTCTCTAATCCTTGATTAAAATTTTCCATAAAAACTATTGTTATATATTCATACCCGTGAAATACGACAGACAAATTGATGCTTGATTGTTGAAATAATTTTGAAGTACTTTGTTGAGGTGAATGGATTGAACAGGATAAAAGGGGAATGGGGATGGAGAGTGTCGCTGGGAATGGCGGGAGTGCCAGCGGTGCTGCTGACGGCGGCGGCATTGCTGGTGGCAGACACTCCGAATAGTCTGATAGAGAGAGGACACGTGGAAGAAGGACAAGCTGTGCTGAGAAAACTCAGGGGTACAGAAAACGTGGAGGATGAGTTCATGTATTTGCTTCACGCAAGCCAGGAGGCCAATCAGGTGAACAACCCTTTCTACAACCTCTTCATTCGCCAGAACCGGCCTCGCCTTATCATCACTGTCGCTCTTCAGGTCACTCTCTTGCTCTCCTCCCCTTTTTTCTCTATATTCACAACTCTTATCTCATCTCCTTCATTTCGTTGTCTCGATTCCAAAATGAAATAGACACAATATGGATGAATCCTATCGCGATTTCAAAAAATTGGATTTCATTTACCTAAATCATTTTGCCGTATTACCGAATCTTGCTAATCAAAATCTCTGTTCCTCTTTGCACTGCAATCCAGTCCTTTCAGCCAATTTACAGGCATCAATTCGATTATGTTCTATGCTCCAGTCCTTCATGATACTAGGCTTCCAAAGCGATGCCTCCCTCTACTCTGCAGTGATCACCGGCGCCGTCAACGTCTCCTCCACCATGATCTCCATCTACGCCGTCGACAAGGTCGGCCGCCGCACGCTTCTCCTTGAAGCCGGCGTTCAAATGTCCCTCTCGCTAGTACTCATAGCCGTTATCCTCGGCATCAACGCCAGGGATCGGCCCACCGAGCTCTCTAAAGGCCTCGCCATCTTCGTGGTGGTCATGGCCTGCACTTTCGTCTCCTCCTTCGCTTGGTCGTGGGGCCCACTGGCGTGGCTCATCCCCAGCGAGATCTTCCCGTTGGGGACTCGATCGGCAGGCCAAAGCATCACCGTTTTCACGAACTTCCTCTTCACTTTTGTGATCGCGCAGTCTTTTCCGTCGATGCTGTGTCATTTGAGGTATGGAATCTTCCTGTTCTTCTCTGGGTGGGTGTTGATTATGTCGTTGTTTACCGTGGTGCTTTTGCCGGAGACGATGAACGTGCCGATTGAGGACATGACGAACAGAGTTTGGAAGCAGCATTGGCTATGGAAAAGATTGTTGAATGAAAACATGAGCATGTTGATGTTGAATGAAAACATGAGCATGTTGATGATCAAATTTGGAATGAATGACATGATGAAGAATTCAACTAAATGTTGGGTTTGGTGTAAGAATTTGAATGGAAACAGTGAATTCCACATACTCTTGCTTTTTTCGGCCAAAAAAAAAATGTTGCTTTTGTTTTTTTAAATAACAAAATGTGCAGTGGTGTACGAGTATGTTGGTATTGTTTTTATTAATGCTGGTGATAGATTGAAGGGGATATGTAAAGACTTTTATAATTACTAAAATTATTAGTAGTTCTAAAATTTTCATTTTAGCAAGGCTAATTGACTTTGCCTGTTCTTTAGCTCATTCTTATCATTCTTTTAATAATATTTTGTACATCTTTTGATAAAAAACCACCATTCCTTAATGGAGGTTGTTGATGAAAGATTAGTTTTATTTATGCCGTGACTTTGTACTCCTTTTGAATTAGTTATTATTATCCTTTTTACTCCCCCCCCCCCAAAAAAAAAAAAAAGAAATCATTCCAAAAGAACTCAAATCACCATGTGCTCAGTTAAAAACAAAAAAATCACAATGTGCTTATTTCAACTATTTTTTCTCCACGTTTTTCTCCACGCAGGTGTAGGTATGGTCCCATTTTGGCTTTTAGATGAAGGTACCCAAACGAATATATATTCATGGGTTAATAGTTTAATATATAATTTGGACCTAAATTTTTAAATCGAGATGATTTAAATTTTTTTTTAAACTCATATTTAATACATTTAAAATTATAATATTAAATTTGAGACAATTTCGCCACGCTACTACCATTAAATTAAAAACAAACATCCGTAATTTTTTTTAAAAAATGGGTATAATGTACAATTTGTCTCTCTTTCTTCTCTCTCCCACCCTCCTTTGAAGGAAGTTGCGCATCAGGTCCATGTTTTTTTTTTTGCTTCATTTGTCTAATATTCCATTCATGTCAAATATAAGATAATTTAAATAAAATTATACATATTAATAAAATATAATAATAATATTATACAGATTTATTTTTTTAAAATAAAATTATAAACTTTTAAATACACTTAATCGGTATAATATTTTTCTTTTTCTCTCCACTTGAAGAGTAATTTAAAAAAACTATTATTAATAATGTCTTTTTTTTTTAAAGTATCTTATAATTTGAGATGGAGGGACTATTATAATGTACTTTTAATGAAATTATACATTTATAAGTTTATTAATTATTTTTAAAATTACATACTCTTCACATATTTATTCTTATTTAATATAGTATTTCAATTAAAAAATTAATTAAACACTTTAAAAGATTCAAAATATTTTATATTTTTTAGTATGATATTTGAAAAAAAAAAGTTTTTATAATATTGAATGGAGGAAGTATTTTCTTTGGATAAAAAGTTAAAATTACTACATCAGACTTTATTTATAAGAAATACTTGATAATTAAATTTAAATTTTTTCAATATTTGCTATACTTTTATTATCATTTAATCCTAGCTATTTTTAATACCCTTTTTACGAGTGTAAGAAATATGTATATTTATTTTTTTTTCTAATTATATTAATCCTTGTATACTCAACTTGTAAACTAGAAGTTTTTTTTTTTTAATTTTTTAATGAAAAACATTCTGTAATTTGATAGAAATTGAAGATTACCATTACCATTATTAGCTTTTTCCAAAAAACATCAAAATTTAAAAACATTAATATGAAAAATTTAAATTAAAATATCAAAATAACTTATTATATTGGTGGTCGGAGAAGAACTACTATTGGATGGAATTCATAAGAACCAATTTGAATTCTCATTTGAAAAAATTTGCCACTGAAAATTTTCCGCAAAAGCACTCTCTTCGTTCTTCCTCCTGTGTCGCTTTGACTGGCTTCGTCGTGAGAAGTGATGGCAGCCGTGGTGGAGCCGCTTCCTTTTAATATCTATTCATCGTCTCCACTCAGCTCAGACCCCATTAATTGTTTTTAATATCTATTTGTCGTCTCCACTCAGACCCCATTAATTCTTATCTCATCTTCCATTCTCATTGTTCTTCTTCTTATCCGTCTTACTTTCGCTTTGATTGATTTGATTGATTGTTTGCGCTGTTCGACCTACCTGTGTGACTGTCTTGATCCTAAACGGCCATGACCGGCGGCGATTTCGCCATCAGCGGCAACATCAATGGAAACTTCGAGGCCAAGATCACTTCGATTGTCCTAACGTCCGGCTTCATGGCCGCCACCGGTGGCCTCATGTTCGGCTACGACGTCGGCGTTTCAGGTGCATTTCTTCAACTCTTCTTCGTCTTCTCTCATATGAGTCGAAACCGTGATCGAAGAGGACTCTACTGATTTTGAATTTGTTAATTGCAATTTCAAGTTATAATTCGTCAAAAATTTTGCAAACCGACTCAAGGACTGTATTGTATTATTCTACTAAGCTTGAATTCAGTAGTATAGAAGATGCATCCCGAAATTCATGTGTTGTGGGATTGAATCAGGCGGACTGACATCGATGACACCATTCTTGAAAAAGTTCTTCCCTGGGGAGTACGAAGGGTATAACGGTACTTACTGTCAATACGACAGCAAGTGGCTCCAACTTTTCACGTCGTCTTTGTACCTGGCAGGGATGACAGCGACAATCGTCGCAGCCTATACGACAAGGAAGTTTGGAAGAAGGATGAGCATGCTCATAGCTGGCATTTTCTTTCTCAGTGGCACGGCGTTTAGCGCAGCCGCACAAGACCTTCCCATGCTTATCATTGGCAGACTCTTGCTAGGTTTTGGTATAGGCTTTGGTAACCAGGTTAGTCCTGTATCTATTTGCTCTTTTTAACTTTAATGATATTTATAATCTATTGATCAAATATAATTATAATAAAAAATGGGAAAACGTGATTTTAGAGCTTTACAGTTTTGATCAACCTGGATTAAAAGTCTCCATGTATTTTGTCAAGGAATTAGTTCTTAAAATTATAGTGAATTTTAATTGAAGTCCTTTGAGATAAGTCATCGTTATTAGTGTAGTAATGACATGGCATTGATATGAGAGATATTTGATAAACATGAAAATTATGATTAAAATTGACTACTCTCTCATTCAAAAATGTAAGAAATTTTTTAAGAAATTGAATGTTTAAAATGTAAAATATTTTTAATCTTTTGAGATGTAATCATTAACTTTTTTTCTCAAAAGTACCCCTATTGATAATGACTTTATATTTATTATAAGGTATTTAATAGGGATAAATATGAAAAGATAAGGTTAGTTTGAAAGTAAGTAATATTTTATTGAGAATTAAAATTCGATTAAAAACACTTTATATTTTTAAATAAAGTGAGTATAATTTTAAGGATTGATTCCTTAATAAGAAAATAAAAAATACCTTGGTAGTTGATCACAATTTTAAGGAACAAAAACTATTTTCCCTTGTAAAAAAGTAAGAAAAGACCTAATTCAATCCAACCTTTATCTCAAAGGTGAAACCAACATTTTATTATATATTATTTATTTGCCATCCTTGGATTCACGTTTTTTTAATTTTTAAACTTCTTTAACTCTTTGTTGATCATTCTCTCATTTTTTAACCCAGTGCATTAATTATATTATAATATATATATATACTTTTTTGCTTCTCATAAAACAAAATTTAAATTAATTACACAAGCTTCCCTTTGGAGCTATATCTAGTTGGTGAATTGGTAATCAATTCAATACCTAAGGTTTCATCATATCACCGTTGACCATCTGTGCGTGTATGAATATTTTTTTTGGGAGAATTAATTTTGACCTTTGTAATTTTGATCAAATTATAACTCAATACTTAATCTTTAACTTATTATAACTTAATTTTTATAGCTTTAATTGAATTGTAATTCAATTTTTAAATTTTAACTTTTGCAATTCATTTTTTATAGTTTTAGTTCTTTTAAATATTTGTCCTTGTATTTTAAGAATAAAATTATAAAGACTTAAAAATTCAATCTTTATAAAGATTGAAACTTTTAGTAATTTAAAATATTTGTACTAAATTTTAACATGTTTTTAATATTTTTAATTTTATTTTTTAAAATATAGGACTAATAATTTAAGTGATTAAAATTATGAGAATTGAGTTGTAAAAGTTATATTTTAAAGATGGATTACAATTAAGTTAAAACTATAATGATTGAATTATAATGAATTAAAATTAAAGAATTAAATTTATATATATATACTTTTTTGCTTCTCATAAACAAAATTTTAAATTAATTACACAAGCTTCCCTTTGGAGCTATATCTAGTTGGTGAATTGGTAATCATTTAATACCTAAGGTTTCATCATATCACCGTTGACCATCTGTGCGTGTATGAATATTTTATTTTTGGGAGAATTAATTTTGACCTTTGTAATTTTTGATCAAATTATAACTCACTACTTAATCTTTAACTTATTATAAACTTAATTTTGATAGCTTTAATTGAATTGTAATTCAATTTTTAAATTTTAACTTTTGCAATTTATTTTTTATAGTTTTAGTTCTTTTAAATATTTGTCCTTGTATTTAAAAAATAAAATTATAAAGACTTAAAAAATTCAATCTTTATAAAGATTGAAACTTTTAGTAATTTAAAATATTTGTACTAAATTTTAACATGTTTTAATATTTTTAATTTTTATTTTTAAATTAGGACTAATAATTTAAGTGATTAAAATTATGAGAATTGAGTTGTAAAAGTTATAGTTTAAAGATGGGTTACAATTAAGTTTAAAACTATAATGATTGAATTATAATGAATTAAAATTGAAGAATTAAATTATAATTGAATTAAAACTATGAAGATCAAATGATTAATTTTTTTTATTTTTAATTCTGATTCTGATAATATAATGTATGCAGGCTGTGCCAGTGTTCCTTTCTGAAATTGCACCATCAAGGGTGCGTGGGGCAGTGATTATGTTGTTTCAGCTCAATGTCACCATTGGCATTCTCTTCGCTAACCTCGTTAACTATGGCACCAGCAAGTAAGTCCTCTGTTTTGATTTGTTCATTACAAATATTTTCCTAATGATTGCCTATTAGGTTCTATGATTAAACATTAAAAACTACAAAGCATTTAATAATGACATGTTGGAAACATGCCTGTCAAGACTCGAATTACGGTTTCGGCCTAAGCAACTTCATGTTTGGGGTAAGTTTGACCTATATTAGTCGAAATTCAACATGACTCTCAAAAAATTGAATCACATATACGGGGGAAAAAAATTATTGTGGAAAATAGCAATAAGTAATGCTAGATAAAGATTATCGGTATATACCCATATGTTGAAGTGATTTTGAAGTACCTATTGGGGTGAATGGATGTGATTTAACAGGATAAAAGGTGAATGGGGATGGAGAGTATCGCTGGGAATGGCGGGAATACCGGCGGTGGTGCTGACGGCGGCTGCATTGCTGGTGGCGGACTCTCCGAATACTCTGGTAGAGAGAGGACACGTGGAAGAAGGAAAAGCTGTGCTGAGAAAACTCAGAGGTACAGAAAACGTGGAGGGTGAGTTCATGGATTTGCTTCAGGCAAGCCAGGAGGCCAATCAGGTGAACCACCCTTTCCGCAAAATCTTCATTCGCCGGAACCAACCTCGGCTTATCATCGCTGTCACTCTTCAGGTCACTCTCTTGCTCTCCATCTTTATTTTTCTCTGCGTACACATATCTATATTTCATCTTCATTTCATTGCATAGACACGATATGGATGAATCATATGCAAATAAGATCCTCTCTAGTTGTAGTCGGTGAGACGCACAAAAGCAAGTTTAGCAGCGAATTGAGATCCGGCACTGCACTTAGAATTTGGCTTATTGCTTGCTTTCTCTTCACTTCAAGTAAGGACCACTTTAGAAAGATTAAGAAAAAAGCAGAGAAAATCTAAACCCAACCATTCATTCCGTCCTCAAAAAAATAAATTTGAACCCCACACGTCTTCAAATGGAAAGATCAGACCAGTTCACTCTTTTAGCCCTCTTTGAACTGCTAAAACAACTAACACTGAAATGTAGCAATTTCTTTTATGACCATTTTGCTGTATCTGCAAAAATTACTGATAAAATCTATTCCTATCTTTGCATTACAAACCCAGATTTTCCAGCAATTTACAGGCATCAACGCTATCATGTTCTATGCTCCACATCTCTTCCGGACACTAGGCTTCAAAGACGACGCTTCCCTCTACTCCGCCGTGATCACCGGCGCCGTTAACGTCCTCTCCACCTTAATCTCCATCTACGCCGTCGACAAGGTCGGTCGCCGCATGCTCCTCCTCGAAGCCGGCGTCCAGATGTTCCTCTCGCAATTAATCATTGCCGTCATCCTCGGAATCAACGCCAGGGATCACCCCACCGAGCTCTCTAAAGGCCTCGCCGTCTTCGTGGTGGTAATGGTGTGCACCTTCGTCTCCTCCTTCGCTTGGTCGTGGGGCCCATTGGGGTGGGTCATACCCGCCGAGATCTTCCCGTTGGGGGTTCGATCTGCAGGCCAAAGCGTCACCGTTTTCACGAACTTCCTCTTTACTTTTGTGATCGCGCAGTCTTTTCCATCGATGCTGTGTCATTTGAGGTATGGAATCTTCCTGTTCTTCTCTGGGTGGGTTTTGATAATGTCGTTGTTCATGATGGTGCTTTTGCCGGAGACGATGAAGGTTCCGATTGAGGACATGACGGACAGAGTGTGGAAGCAACATTGGCTGTGGAAGAGATTTGTTGAATAAAAACAAGTTGGAATGAATGACATTTTGGCCAATAATGGACCAAACAAAATGTAGGTTTAAGAAATTTAATGGAAATGGATTCACGTGAAGTGTGAAAAAGTAACCTTGATTGACGACGTTTCGTAGAGATAGTGAATTCCACATGCTCTTACTTTTGTTTTTTTAAATAAAAACAATGTATAGTGGAAAATGTTGGATTTGTATTGTTGGATTTGCATATAGTCACATTTTTATTTTTTGGTGTATATTTCAAATGTTATGAATGTATTAAATGTAATGTTAGAAACGTAAACTTTATTTGTAGAGCAATGTCTTGTAGATTTTGATGCATTTCCTTGTTTGCAAGGCTGAAAACCGCACTAGAGGCTTTTTTTTTTGGGGGGGATTACATAGTGCAAGCAAAATATTTGAAGTAACATTGGAAGTAAACCTGTGATATATTACCAACAAAGTTAATATTCATGCTACTATGCCAAAGGAGCCCAACTATGCATCTAAACTCTTGGTTATTCTTTAAGAACTTACTATGTGTTAGAAATTGAAATATTTCAACATTATCGTTAATCTGGATTTCACTGAAGCCCTCACATTTATTTAAAATGAATTTTCTCCAACCCATCGGTTCACAATTCTCTCAGAAAAATTAGAGATTTTTTGGCTTTTAATACATCATTGGATTGTAATATTATTTAGAGAAACTAACGAATACACAGACTAGCTTGCTCACCAGGAATCTTTGATAACTTGGATACTAAATTTTTTTACAATCCATTTATATGATGTAAAGATCTTTTACATTTTGGCAGAATTTAATCTATTGTATTCTACAATCTGCACAGCTTTAACCATGGCTCTCTATTAAAAGAAATCGGCACAAGAGTTCAAATAAAGCAACAGTGAATTTGCTCATTTGTTGTTCTTTAGCCCTTTTTTTGGTTTGGGGGGGGGGGAATCTATTCTCAACTTTGCATTTGAACCACAACAACGAAAACCCCAATGTGTTTATGCTAAACCCTACTATTTGATTATTCATTTGAGGGCTGAAAAGTGTAGGGGAAGACATTGGCTTCTCACCATTATCTATGAAAATTATTTAGATTTAAATGAATCTTCCTTTCTTGTAAATCTCATCAATCTTCACTGTAGAGATCGAGTGAAAATATCTCAACTATTCCTCTGTCAATTAAGTGTGTTGTGGGTCCACTAACAATCTCCTTCCTTTTGTAGTTACTGTTGGAGGATTGCCGTAATTTTACAGTGATTGGGTCATTCCATAATTGATTGGAAAAAAAGTCACAAAAATATATATGGGCTTGGAAGGGAAACATATCTTAAGGTAACCCATACTATTCTTCCACCTTCTAAAAGTTGAATATTTTAAAATGATTTTTTTTGCACGGTTTATTTGTGGCTATGTATTCAAAAAGTAAATAAATCTTTAATAGTTAAATAGATTTTCATTAAAAATATTATTAAAAATTCTTGATATTTTATCCAATTAATAAATTTTAAATTGTACCTTCCGTAAAGAAAACTTGAATTTTTGTTTCTTATATTGTAAGGAACTAATTCATCCTGCTAAACTCTACTATCATTAATAATTAATTGATATTTAAATTCTATTGATTTTTATATTTTGTTTAATTATTTGAGGGGAATGGGGATTTTAATGTGTTTGATTTTAAAAACTGAAGTATGTTGTTGAAACTTTTAAATTAATTATTTTACTTTTAATTCTTACATTTTATAATATAGTTTGTATTTTTTTTTAAATAATTGAAGTTGTTAGGACTTTTATTTTCCCCCCTTCCCCTTCATTCTCTTAGAGTTAAATAAAGAGTTAATATTCTTGTGCATCGCATGAGTATTAAATTTAGTTAGTATAAAAACAAGTTCCACATTGAGAAAGAGGTATGTGACCAATAGAAGCCCCTAATTATATTAATTAGACTTTATTCTCGACAAATTTGCATAATTCTAAATGATTAATTTGCTAAATTTAGTTTTAACAAATTAAATCTATCCCAATAAAATTAACAAAAATAGTGTTTATGGCAGGCTCAAATATCTCTTCCAGAAAAAGTGCAGAAGCAGCACATCCATACCACCTAACACATAACAACAGCTAAAAACTAATCCACTGCAAGGAGGATAATGATCATAACTAATTACCAAAAAGAGAAAGAGACATGTCAAAATTAATTTTCTTTTTTTAGCAATATTGTTATGATGATAATCGCATTTAACTGTTATTACAAGTCATTTCTTAACCATAATCTTCTTTCCATTTTCCATTAATCAAATTGCAACCTCAAAACCCTAATGAATCTCCTTAATCAAAGTGATATATAAAAAGGGAAGAACCTCCTTAATTCTCAAAACACAGTAGAAGGAAATTAAATACAGAAGAAAGGAATTAATCTTAATTGCTTCAGATAGCTTAGAGATATGTCTTTGGTACAGAGAAATAATATTGTTCTGTTGATGACAATGACCATAATGGTGATGGTGATAATGTCTGATGGAGCAGTGTACAAGGTTGGAGACTCTGCTGGTTGGACCTCCATTGGCCACGTGGACTACAGCAATTGGGTTGCTTCCAAGAACTTCAAAGCTGGTGACACCATCAGTAAGTCCTATAAATCTCAATTGCTAAATCTCATTTTGTTCACTTCTGGTAATTCTTCACTCCCAAGTTTTCTACTAGTTAGAAACAGCCTTTCATATGAGATCATAGGAAAATATCACATTGAATATTTATTTCTGGATTAGAGTGCAGTTTTGCCCGAGAAATATATTTGAAAGAGTTATGGGCACCTTAAAATGCTCTTAGTTTTTATGACAAAAATACCCTTTAACCCTTTGTTTCCCCCAATTGTTATTCAGTGTTTTTAAACAACTTTTTCATGTGATATCAATATGAAAGAATTCTTGGTATAAATTAGAAGGAGACCAGAAAACTGATGTGGGAATTTGTGTGAGCAGTTTTTGAGTACAATCCTGAGTTCCACAATGTGATGAGAGTGACAGATGAGATGTACAAGTCATGCAATGCAATGGCAGGGACTCCTCTAGAAACCTTCAACACAGGAAATGATTCAATAAAGATCAACAATTATGGCCACCACTTTTTCATATGTGGGTTTCCGGGCCATTGCCAAGAAGGCCAAAGGATTGATATCAATGTGATTAGGGTTTCTGCAACAAAACCTCCATCTCCATCAACAACAGATGATGATGACGACCTTTGTCCTTGCCCTAACAAAGCTCCCCCTTTCATGGCTTCTTTTGGTCTTGTAGGACTGGCCATGTCATTCTTTGCTCCTGCTGCTTTCTAGCCTCCCTTCACAATACTTTTATTTTTAAGTATAATATTTCATTTGTTTAGTTTTAAAAAATGGAGACACGTATATATGTATATGTAATTACTAATTATAAAAAAATAAATTATATATAGTTCATACATAATTCAATAAAAATATTGAGTAATTAACCTTTTTTTCCCTTCACTTTCCCTAAATTTGGGGAGGTAAATTATCAAGTCCCTCTCTGGTTGTGACATTTCTTCTAAGTTCTCCACTGACAGCTTTTTAATATTGCAAACCATTTTATACTGTCTAGGCATATACTGAATAAGAAGAAGACTTAAACCAACACATCATGAAAGAAATGGAAAGAATCCATTTATTTTTGTTCTACCAGCTTCAGCCATCTATGATGAATAACTTGACTAATAATTGGGAATGCTATAACCTATTCTAACATGACCGAGAAAAACTAAAAGAAAACGAACTTCTAGGAAAAATGGAAGCTCAGAGAGTACTTTGAGTTGAACTAGTCATATATTTGACCATAAGCCAGAAAACCATTAAGCGAATGAAGCTCAGCATCTGCATCCCTTGTCATCTTGTTGGAGAATCCTGCAATATGGAAAAAGAGAGTGAGGATTATGCTGTCAATTTACCATGGGCAGTATCAACAACCTGATCAAATATAAAAGCAACTGCTTATATATATGCTACAATCTTCGATTGTTGGTGAAGAACAATATGAAACTGATGAAAAAGCTAACCTACAAAGATAATTCTACTTCTTTAGCAAGAGCATGAAAATTGAGCCTTATCACACCACAAGGGGCACAAAATGTCATTAGAAGATGGAAATGCAGCCTCATTTCACATCTCAATCATCATGACAAATCTAGAATCAGATGAATCAAGTAATTTCACAAAGAGACATGATTTGATGTCATTTCCAATAAGGATTGGGTTTTTCATCCCAACTATTGACTATATCTGACATCATTTTACAAGAAACCACAAGTTTTTCGATACCCAGATCCCTCCAAGTTCCTAGCAGATTCATGCCCTTCTAACTTACAAGAAGGTCTGAATTTGGGGACAGCAGATGCTTTTATTAATAAGGGCATGCTGAGGCATGTTTATACCAATGTTTTGAGAAATAAACCCTACCAACCAGTTTGACGAATTGAACCGAGAATTGATCACATGTTTGGACTGAAAAAAGAAAACCGACTAGAAATCTTGAGAACTGGTGGTAAACTGGTATAAAGTTGAATTCAGACCAGTTAAAACCAAACAGTTGAGCATGTTGTGAGCATAGCATGGCCATTGGTAGCAAAAAAAAGGGAAAAGAAAAAAAAAAGGAAGGAGAAGAAAGGAAAGAAAAAGAAGAGAACAGATGAATATTACATGGGAGGAGCTACATGATTCATCATAAAACAGTACCATAGCATCAAGTGCATCATGCATGATTCACTGCACTAGCTTTATACGGACAGGGGAAAAACATAGCAGCACAAGCTAAAATCTAAAGACATGTAAAAAGATGAGAAGAAACCGAAAGATGAAGAGGATGAGGCCAAGAAGGAGAAAACTCTTATCTCTTTAAAACTATTTAAGCCAGTTCTTCTATTTCTATTACCATAGTATTTGATAAATATTACAAACTAAAATGACATGTATACGTTTGACGAATTGCATTTAATGCTATTAGTATGAATAAATAATTTGACATATAGATAAACTCACTCTTTTGTCATAGCGGATTGCAGAACGATGAACGATATGTGCATAGTTATATTCAGCTGAAAATCTGGGAAATGTCTAATTAGTACTATGCATATTTCTTAGACTTAGTGGGGCGAAATCCTTTGTGAGGTATTCAAATTCAGTACAGGGATCAAAAGAATAACCTTATTTGCTTGTATTACTGCTACCATGTATGCTGTGTGGAGGGGAAAGAAAAGAAACTGCAGCTGTATTTGTGGAGATTCAACAAAGTCCGAAAATTAGACAATAAACTTGCTTACCACAGAGGATCAGTCCTAGTGAAGACCAGGCCAATTTATTCAGTCCTTGTTCTGACCCCTTTTTTTATAGTACAGTCATGTTAGTAGAATAGTACAGTCTTATTAAAAGGGTTTTTGGGGTAGATGGTAGCTCAAATATGGGGTTGTCTTTTAATTTCTAGGCTTAGACAAGTTAATGCATAAGCAGGAACCTTTTCTAGAAGGTATTCTTTCTAACTCTTTTATGCATACTCTTAAGAAGCAATCTTGCTCTGATCTGATATGCACGTTCATATCAGATCACAAAACTACTGATCCTGTTTCTCTCTGTTAGTTGGAATCAATGAGTTATGGAAAGGTTGTAAATCTGATTCTGATATAAATTTTCAACTGTCTGAATTAATATCTGTGGTTGATTTTTCTGAAAATTTTATTAGAAGCCTAATTATTATAAATTCTTTATTTTGGAATTTTAATGTCATTCTCCCTTATAGATCTTCCATTGGGGCACTGAATACTTGAACACGTTAAATATTTGAAATAGAAATGTTTTCAAATATTCTTTACATCGATATTTTCTAAACAATTAAACAATCTCCTCTAATTAGTAAATTTATTGAGAGGAACATTGAAATTTTAAAATATTTACCTACTTTTAACTAAATTTGTTAAGATAAAGAAAATTGTTAATAGGTCATTCTGATTAGGATTGAATCGAGTGTAGATAATTTTCCTTGTAAATATTAAATATTAGTAGTTTTAAAATTTACATCCCGAGTGAACTCAAATAATCATTTCAACTATTTTTTCTTAATGTTATGAAAATCGGACAAGCCATTCAATTGATTGAGATATTGATTTATTGTTTAATAATTAGACTAGGGTTGGACTGATTATAATTAAATTAATATATTTAAATATTATATATAAATTTAAATTAATTTTCTTAATTTTTTTTGGAGTTTCGAAATGATTGTTAATTTTTTAGATATGGTAATAATATATTTTTTTCCAGGAAACAACAATTAAATTTATTTAAAAAGATATGTAAATAAGTATTTGGATAAATATAGATAACAAGAAATCATGTACATGTAAAATTACCAAATTTAAAAAGAGATAAAAAAGATGTATGTTTGTTTTTCAGATTGGTCTTTAAACATTTTTTAAAAGTAAATTATAATTAAAATAAAATAAAATCATATAAAAAAATATAAATAAATAGTTGAAATAACAGAGATAAAAAAGATGTTCATATATAAGAAAATAAGATTTAGGAACTCACACAAAAAACCCACAAAAATAAAAAGAAAAAAAAAGAAATGAAACACACACAAATGTTGCTGATGCAATGGAGGCCCCACATCGTTTGCGTGTTGCGGGGAGAGAGATGTGATGATTCTGCCGTGACAATGTATCTGGGTGATATCTTGCTTAAAGCTGTGGGCCCAAAATAAAGTTTTTCTTTTTTTGTTTTTTTTTTTGACCGATCTGGTTTAGAAAGCGGTCTGGTTGGTTCTAGGCCGGTTTTAGTTTAGTCCAGTTATTAGTGCGTTTCAGGTTGGACGAGGTACTGATTTTTGGTTCGACTGGTCAGCCTAGTCCGACTTTCATAGCAATTTTTTTTTTCCCTGCCTAGGTGTGAACTGTGAACCCATTTTAACTCTTATAAGAAGGTACTCCAAAAAATAATCATTCATTCACATTCATATGAAAAATATCACTACTTTTTTTTTAAAAAAAAAATGCTATATATAAATAGAATGATTATTGACTCTGATAATTTGAACCGTTTAAGAGCCATTACCATTTTGGTTCCGAGTAATTCATTAATTTCTTATCTTTTTTCCTATCTGTCATCATCAAATAACAATAAATTTATATTCATAATTACCTAACATATCAAGTTTTTATTGAACTAAGTAGGTTACATTATGCACCAGGTCCATACAAGAAATTTTCTTATTTGACTTTAGAATTGCGTTGATTTGGTTGGTTCTTAAAAGCAAATAATTGTTTATTTGTGATAGATTTTTATCTCTTATCCATTTCTCTCTTGCTCTTTTTTCAAACAAAAACTACAACTTCAAAATCTATTTACAAGAAATTCTTGACAGTTAAATTTGAAATTTTTCAATATTTGTTATACTTTTATTTTTATCTCACCATAAATATTTTAATACACCTTTAAGAGTGTGATAAATATGTATATTTTAAAATATTTTTATTTAAATTCTATTAATTCTCATATCTATTGGTTAATTAATTTTTTATTTTTTTTATGAAAACGTTATGTAATTATAAGACAATTTAAGATAATATTATTAATAAGGCTAATGATACTTGTCAAATTTATTTTTTCAAAATAAAATATAAAATTTTAAAAATACCTTTCATTTAATATAATTTTAAATATAATAATTATTTTAATTTTTTTCTATTTAAAGGGTAATATTAAAAAAGTATCCTTAATGAAACCTTATTTTTATAAAATTATTTTATATTTTAACAAAATTCCTCCACCATTATCTTATAGTTTACCTTTACCACCATATATTTAGTTTTTTTTTCAAAAATAAAAAAAAAATAAAAACATGGAAATAAAATAATAATAATTTGAGAAATTAAAATTTAAATATTTAAAATAACTAATAATATATTGGTGATCGGAGATGAACTCCCATTATTGGACGGAATTGGCAGAAACGTTACAATTTGAAATTTTGAATTCTCATTTGGAAAATTTGCGACGGAAAAATTTCCTCGAAAGCACTCCTTCTCCTTCTTCCAATTGTGTCCCCATTCGGCATTGACCTGACTTGACTGGCCTCATCATGAAAAGCAGTGAGGGATTGTGTGTGGTGATGGACTCACTCCACATTATTTGTTTTCTCCTCCTCCTCCTCCTACTACTTTCGCTTTAACTGATTTGATCGATTGTTTGTGCCGTTCAATCTACCTGTCTTGATGCGCAACGGCCGTAACCGGCGGGTATTTCACCTCAGAAGCAACGATGGCGGAAACTTGGAGGCCAATATCACTCCGATTGTCTTAATTTCCGGCTTCATGGCCGCCACCGGTGGGCTCTTGTTCGGTTACGACATCGGAGTTTCAGGTGCATTTCTTCACCACCTTCTTCGTCTTTCTCATATGGACAGAAATCCTGGTCTGTCGAAGAGTAATTGATTTACAGATTTTGCTGATGTGAATTGCAATTTCGAGTCGTCAAAAATTTTGCAAGCCAACTGATGGACTGTATTATGTTATACGAAGTTTTCATGCGTTTTTGTATTTTTTTTTTAATGGAAACTGAGAAACTATATTGACAAAATATTAACAGATTATAGACGGTTAGTATTACCACCAGGATCTCCTTCATCGTTCTCCAACTCTTGACTAGGAGGTGGGCTGGGGGGATGATCAATGAGAAGCTATACTTAAGTATTGATTTATTATTGTCATATTTTGAATTTTTATGAAGAAGATTAATATGAATTTCCCGTGACAAAGACAGTTCTTTCAAAAAAATAGGTGAACACGCTTATATTCATCGGTTGTGACAAGCTAATGTATCGCGGCAAAATTTAAGTCTTTTATTTTATTTTGAAGTGATTTCTATCATTTATTTAAATTAATTTTTAAATATTGTATTTATTAATATAAAAATTATAAAAAAAATTTAATATTACATTTGGATTGGCTTTGGTACTTACCAAAAAAATGAGTGCCATAATATTTATCACTTTTAATGAGACTGATCGTCTAAATTTAAAATTTTTTATTTTCATTTTACATTTATTAAAATAAAAATTTATAAAAAATATAATAAATCTTTTATTACCAATCTAGCCGGTATAAATTTAATTTTCATAATTGAATTTAACATTAAATTTTTTTTAATAATTTTATAATTTGACTATTCAGATGTACATTGGATAGTTCTAATATAATTTAAATGACATAATTTAATATTTAAAATTTTAAAATTTTATAAATTAAATATTTAAATATGCTCAGGAGAGACAGATTTAATATTACAATTTTTATATTAATAAATATAATATTTAAAAATATTTTAACAATTAATTTAAATAAATGACAGAGATCATTTTAAAATAAAATAAAAGGCTCAGATTGAATCTCAATGAGCATGCGATGCTCATCACAAGCTATGAGCATGGAATGCAGATACCAAAAATAGATTAGATGTGATATGAAAACACCCATTTACCTTTGTGCATTCAAGGAACAAGCCTTGTGGGTGTTCTCAGTGTTTCATAAAGTGGTTTGTTCTTTGGTAGATAAACTGAACGGTGAGGATATTGTGTATTGCGCTCCATATAATAGTTGCATTGGTCATTAGGAAAAGAACACAGCTAATTAAATATTTATAAGATGTATGATAGTAAGAGACTATATCTAAAGATCCAGATGTGATAAATGCTATATTAATTTTTTTTGAAATTATTATTTTAAAAATCATAATTTTTATCAGCTTTTTAAATAACTCCTGAATTTTTAAAAATTAAAATTTTTTATAAAATTTTGTAATATATTTCCCTCATCCCAAATTATAAAATAAGTTAAGACAAGATTATAACATATTAATAAAATTCAATAATGATACTTTATAAATTTATTTTTTCAAAACAAAAATATAAACACTTAAAAATGTCATTCATTTATAAGGGAAAATAGAAAGGAGAGAAAATTAAAAGAAAAGAAAAGTAAAGGGAAGTAATTTTCTCCCATTATACTTGGTTGAGTAAGAGAAAATAAGAATGAAAGAAAAGTTGTTACTTTTATATAAAAAATAATAACTTTATTAGTTATAAAAATATTTAGATTTAATGAAGTTTAATATTATAACATATTATATACTCCCTCTATTAAAAAATATAAGATATTTTTTGAGAAGTTGGATGTTAAAAATTGTAAGGTATTTTTAATTTTTCGAGGTGTAATCATTATCTTTTTTCAAAAGTGTCCCTATTAATAATGATTTTATATTTATTGTAGAGTATTTAATATGTATAAATATAAAAAGATAGGGTTAGTTAAAAAGTAGGTAATTACTTTATTAGAAGTGAGATTTGATTAAAAATGCCTTATATTTTTAAACGAAGGCAATATATATATTATAATAATTTCTATCATATATTATTGGTTGAATAAAAATATAATTACAAATTATTTTATCAGACCAAAAAATATTTTATCCAATTTATAATTTTATTTATTAAATTATTAAATATATAATAATGTTAAAATTTTGAAATTACAACCAAATATAAGGAACTTAATTGAAAATTTAGAATTAACATTTGTCTAATTAATTTAAACATTAAATATATTATTTGTTTAAAAAAAGTCCATAATCAAAATATAATTATGCTGCAAATATAAAATTTAAAAATTGGTGGGTAAATTTGAAAATAGAATTTTCTCTATTCAAAATCTCTCCATATTAGAAGAGAAAAGTTAGAGATAAAAATATATAGGTCCTACATGTTATTTTCTTTTCACTTTTTTCCAATTTTTTCTGCGTAGCCAAGCAGGGAAAATGTTATTTTTTCTCACTTTTTTCTCTTACTTTTTTTCTCCCTTATATTTTTTTTTCCTACCAAGCATAACATTAGTGTAACTTTAAATCTAGAAACTTAATCATTATATTACCATTATTTCAATTATCTCTCTTGTTAAAGGTAATATTAAAAAAATATCATTAATGAACCTAATTTTTGTTAAATTATCTTATATTTTGAGACAATTAGATATCTTCAAAATTTTTTTATAATTTGGAATGGAGGTAATTTCTTTTAGAGGTAAATATAATTATTAAAATCTTTTAATACAATTCGTGCAAAATTTGAGTCTATAGAGATATTATTTTCTCCAAATATAATTAGGTTTCCAATATACTAACAATTAACATGAATTTAAAATAAAAATTTAAAACACTAAAAAATAATACATGTTGGAAACTTTGAATCCAAAAGAAAATTATCATTTTCCCTCACAAGAGGAAAATTGGTATGTTGTGACTTGTGAGATTGAAGGTGGACTGACAACGATGACGCCAATCTTGAAGAGGTTCTTCCCGGTGGGGTACAAACGGACGTTGAGAGAGAAAGGGCGGTACGGTAATTACTGCCAATACGACAACCAGTGGCTCCAGCTGTACACATCGTCTTTGTTCCTAGCAGGGATGGCAGCGACAGTCGTTGCAGCTTATACGACAAGAAAATTTGGCAGAAGAATGAGCATGCTCTTAGCTGGCATCTTCTCTCTCTGTGGAACTGCGTTTAGTGCAGCTGCTCAAGACCTCCCCATGCTCGTCATTGGCAGACTCTTGCTTGGTTGTGGTATTGGCTTTAGTAACCAGGTTTTGTCCTATATCTATTTCCCCCTTTGATTTTAGTGCTATTTATAATCAATCCATCAAATATAAGTATAATAAAAAATTTGGAAAACATAGACCTTTAAAATTATGATCAACTTGCTTTAAGGTCTCTATATTTTTATGAATGAATTAGTCCTTAAAATTATAGTGAATTTTAGTTTAGATCTTCTAAGATGACAAAGTGGCTAATATAGTAATGACATGGCGTTGATATGATAGTGATGTTGGATGATGATGGAAACTTCAACCAAAATTGACCATAATTTTAAGAATTGATTCTTTGGTGAGAAAATTAGAAGGAACTTAGATTAAAGTTGATCACAATTTTAGGAAACAAAAACTACACGTTTTCCTTGCAAAAACGTGAGGAAATGTATAAGCTTGTAAAGAGCAATACCCACAATCCATGAAAGAATCAAAATACTTTCATTTATCCAAAGAGTCATTTACAATTTACTTGGACTAGATATTTATAGCTCTTAACCTCTGCATATACAATCATATATACAACCAACTAACTCAATAAATAAGACACGTATAACATACATGTAACACCTTATGCATCTAACACCCCTTTCAAGTTGGGAGCCATATAAGTTTATGGTACCCAACTTATCAAACTAGCATGAGCATCTGTACTAAAAGATTTAGTAAGCACATATACTAATTGTTCCTTAGATCTTACATGATGTAAATTAATTATACCTTCCTACATTTTTTCTCTAAAAAAGTGGCAATCTATTTTTATATGTTTGGTTCTTTCGTGAAAAACTGGATTGCTAGCAATGTAAATTGTAGCTTTGCTATCACAAAACACAACTACAGGACCTATATCTTTAAGACTTGAGTCTTTTAACATTCTAGACAGCCAAACAACTTTTGAAACTGCTAATCCAAGAGCCCTATCCTCTTCTTCTACAAATGACTGAGAAATGGTATTTTGTTTCTTGAACTTCCAGTAACCAGTGACCCAGCAAACTTGACTATACAGCTTGTTACTGATCTTTGGGTATCCCTACAAGTGCCCCAATCTAAATCTACATAGCATTCAAGTTGGTTCCCTTTTGTTGCAGATAAAAGTATCCCCAATCCTAAACATCCTTGGATGTACGTAACAACTCGAACATCTGCCTTCATGTGTGAATTCCTTGGAGCACATAAGGACTAACTCAGATTTTGCACAATATAACTCAAAGCAGGCTTAATGGTAGTTAAGTGAGAAAGTCTACCTACTAATCTTCTGTATGATGTTGGGTTCTACAGTAATGGGTCTTCCTCCTCCTCCTTCCTTCTTCCTTTCATTTGCTTCTTGCTCTTTGGAATGACTTTGCCTTTTACACATAACTGCAAATTTTGTTCCATTAGGATACTTAGTGGCTTTACTCCAATAAGGCCCATGTTAGATATTAAATCCAAGGCATATTTCCTTTGTGTGAGAACAATATCTTTATCAAACCTAGCTAGTTCACTTCTCAAGAAATATTTCAAATCACCCTCATCCTTTATTTTAAACATGTGATACAAATGTTGTTTAATTTCATTTATACTCTGCATATTAGTTTTAGTGACAGCCAAATCATCAACATAAGCCAAAATGAGAGTGATATCTACTTTATTCTATTTAATGAACAAAGAGTGGTCATATCTACTCTTCCTAAACCTCCCCTTTGATTAATACTTTAGTAAGCTTCGCATTTCGTTGTCTTGAAGCTTGTTTAAGGCCATACAAGGATTTGGTCAACTTGGCAACTTTATTGGTTTCTATGTGATCAAATCCTTGTGGGATTTTCATGTAAACTTCTTCATGCAAGTCTCCTTGCAAGAAGGTGTTGTTAACGTCCATTTGAAAAAGGGGCTGGTTATTAATAGCAATAAGGGTAAGAATAGTTCTTATAGTGACCATCTTCACAATAGAAAAAAATGTTTCAAGATAATCAATTCCCTTTTGTTGGCTATAACCTTTAGCTATTAACCTAGCTTTACAACATTCTAAACTACCATCAACCTTATATTTTTTTTATAGACCCACCTACATCCTATGGGTCTTTTACCTCTAAGCAAATCAACAATTTCTCAAGTTTTATTATCTTCTAAAGCTATCATCTTAGATTTCATAGCATCAACCCGTTAGGAATCCTTAATAGCTTCCTTATAATTACAAGGTTTAAAAAATTCATCGATATTCAGTAAGTAATGCTTATAATCTAAAAAGATATTAGCATATGATATATATAGTTATGGATGGGATATTGACACTTTACCTTGGTGATTTGTTTTTACATGACATATATAGTCATTTAACCAAGCTAGAGGTCTCCTTTCATGCCTTAGAGGTGGTTGCCTTAAATGTTCTATATCAACATTAGTTAAATTTCCTTCATCTTCATCATCTAGGTTGATTTGAGGAGAAAAAACTGGCCTTTCTAGTGTACTTCTAGAGGCATCAATAGCTGTTTCTTTAACTAAAATTGATGGTGGCTCATTCTCGTATTAAAAAGGGTTAAGCATGGTAAAAGAAACAGATAGATTTTTATTGAAATTTGAAAGAATTAACTCTCTAAAAGGCATCTTATTTTCCATAAAAGTGTTTGCTAACAAAGATATTCTTTGTTTTAAAATTATACAAAATAAATCTCTTTTGATTGGGTGGGTAACCTATAAAAATATAAGGTTCATATTTAGGCAAAAACTTATCATGAGTATTTAAAATAGTAACAAAAGCTAAGTAGCCAAATACTTTAATCGAAATCAAATCAGGTGGCTTATTATGTAGTAGTTCATAAGGAGTTTCCTATTTCAGATTTTTAGAAGGAATTTTGTTTATAAGAAAGGCTTCAGTTTTCAAACTTTTACCCCAAAATCTCAAAGTAAAATTAGAGTGAAATATTAAACTTCTAGCATCCTCAAGTAAGTGTGACACTACTATCGAATAGTACCAAAATTAATAAAAACTAGATTTAACAGTAAAACACAACCTAGGTCATCTCCCTAAGAGTTAATATAATAACTATTTAAATTATGATTATAAAAAGGTAAATAGTGGAGGGATTTTTTTATAATGAAATTAATTTAAAGAAACTAAACTAAAATTAAATAAATAAAGGAAATTCAATTTAGAAAATTATCAAGAACAAGTGGCGCAATCAATCACAACTCAATTCCCAAAACTTAATTCTTGTCTACTAAATAAATTAATTTTATTTAACTTTATTATTCTAATTTTATTATATATTTTTCAAATTATCATTCAAGAATTAAACAATAAATTAAGTTATAGATTAACTGAAATCTCCCTTAACCCATAACATAACAATTATTCTAAGTTAGCCACATCAAAAGTAAAGCATGAATAATCACTCAAGCCAGGCCAAATTACTCTTATGATGCTATAACAATCGATTATAGCAAATAAAACCTCGGATAAAATTTATAACCTAAAAATCATATAATAAAACTGCTCTAATCAGCAATAGCAATTAAAGCATAAAATTTAGAGATAGAGAAAAGAAGAGCAAATTGAAATAAAGTTAGAATAAAATTTTCCTGAATATTAAAGACTCTAATTAAAATTTAAGATCACGATTTGTGATTGATCACATTAGAAAATTTAGCTCTTTATCAAACTAAAAATTGAACAACACTGCATATTAAAATGAGAAGCCATCGCTCACAAACTGGTTGCGCTACCAACTCCATTTCTTTTACCCCATAAAGTCGTTCGTCTCGTCTGCGGCTTGCTTTATATATATACACTGTGCATCTCACGTAAGGGTGCATATGGGCAGGGCAGGGCTAGGTAGTACCTTGCCCGATACCCAGCCTGAAGAATGAATGGGCTGCAAAATGCAGCCTGATGCCCAGCCCTACCTGCAAAAATGCGCTATTAGTTTGGGCTAGGCAGGGCTGGTTGGGCAGCCCAGTCCATCAAATAATTGCCTTGCCCATAAAATCACAACTCTTCTTATCATTTCAAAATAAAACTATCACAAATCAACAATAATAACCTTATACATCAACTCAAAATAGCATCCATAAAACCACAAACTATAAATCCACAATAACAGCCACAATATTCAATTATCCATAATTCAACATTTAACTTAAAATCTAAAACTACCATAAGTCTTGGCACAATATCAAATTATCCATAATTCAATCCAAAATAATAGCTATAATTTAAAATAACAAAAGCTTTGAGCATCATATAAGAAACAACAATTTCAAAGAGGAGGCAATTCACAAAAAGCCTCTTCCTAATTCCCAACTTGCATGAATGGAAGAGAAAAATGTCATAACTAAATAAAAAAATAAAAAAATTGCAACATACATGAAAATTTAAAGCAAAATGGGAACCAAAATATGAGAGAATTAACAACAATAATATATAAGTTTGCTAAAAAATTAATAAGAAATCATAGAAAAGTTTGCAAGAAATTAACAAAAAAATTAATAAAAAAATCATAAAAAATCGGGCTGGGCTAAACGGGCAGGGCTGCATAACTTGCCCAATGCCCGGCCCTACCCGCACATTGCCCAGCCCAAACATGTACAGAACATTTCGGGCCTTTTTTTTTGGCCGGGCTGGGCAAAAAATAATCAGGTTCGGGTAGACATACTAGGTAATCGGGCATCATGAACACCCCTAGTCTCATGTTCTAAAAAAAACCTAATAATTTAATGAAAATGAAAAAATCACCCAAAATAACCCTAAGTAAAAACTATACTAAAATACCCAAGATAAACTTAAATAAAATTTTAATGATTTAATTGTTAATTTGATCTTCAAGAATGTCCTTATTCTTCTTATCCAAAACACTCTTTATCAATATCTTTTAAATTGAATCTAGAAAATCTACACAAATAAGATAAAATAAAATAGCAATTGTGTAAAAATATTAAAGATATTGTTTATATTTTAAAACTACAAATTTAGTTAGTTAAAATCCCAAAACTGAATATTAGCTAAAAAAATAAAATAATATCCAATTAAACTCAATTGGCCTCAATTAAATATTTAAAAGTTTAAATTAAAAGGATAAAAATATATAAAATTGTCACTTATTAAAGTGCCTATGTTTTCTTTCCACCACCCCATTTTGTTGAGGTGCGTAAGGATATGATATCTCATGAGTAATACCCTTTTCGTTTAACAATTGTCTAACTTCATTGTTTGCAAACTCAAGCCCGTTGTCACTTCTCATTTTCTTAATAATAGTAGAAAACTGAATAGTAACATAAGCAAGAAAAGTTTTCAAACATTGCACAGCTTCATTCTTTTGTTGTTTTAAAATCAACCAAGTACAACAAGAGAAGTCATCAACAATAGTAAGAAAAAATCCATGTCCTTTATATGTGGGCTCATGACATAGACTCCAAATATCTATATGAATTAATTCAAAATAAGCTCTAAACTTAGATGTACTAAAAGAAAAGGGTACTTTTGTTTGTTTGGCATGAATACAAATTTCACACTTATCTTGACTAGTAGAAGTAATTTCCTTTCTCAAGGGTTCTACATGTTAAGAACATCCAATGGAGTATATCCTAACCTATTATGCCGTCAAATAGCCTTTTGATCATCATGTATATTATTATCTATGACTATAAGATGCTCTTGCTTTACAATTTTTCCAATTAGGTAAAGCCCATTAGTGAGCTTACCAATCATTCTGGGGTTTCCAATTGAGATCTCTTCCAAGGTACAAAACTCATGATAAAAAGCCATAATATAGTTTTGACTCTTCGTTATCCTAGATACAGATACAAGATTAAAACAACATTTAAGGGCATAATAAACATCAGTCAACCCAATATCATCAAATAGTTTTATTGTATCAGTGTGTATAATAGTAAGTTTGTCCCCATTTGGCATTTTAATCTTTCTTAGAAGCCCTAAGTAAGGTTTAATAAAGTCAAGCATAGTAAGATTACTAACCATATGACATGTTGCACCAGAGTTTAAAATCCAATTAGATTGACAAAAGGAAGTAGGAAATGTGTTAACCAAACATGATAAAGTCAATCGTCCTAACAACTAGTTCATTCTTGTCTTGCTTAATTAACTGAAGGAGCTGATGATATTGCTCTTAGGTTAGAGAAGAGGTAGGAGCTCTAGGTGTTAAGGATTGTTCTAAGATGACTTGATTGATTTGGTTAATTTGTTTCCCATAATCATTGAAACCATTTAGGTAGCCAATCAATTGATAACACTTTTCTCATTTATGACCCCTGTGATTATAATGAGTTATTCCCCTACCTCTTCCTTTGCCTTGACATCCACCCCTCATTGTCATAGTAGTAGGCTCAATTAGGGTGGTTTGTATTTGAAAGGATATCACATGTTGATCTTCCTCTTGTGAAACTATAAAATAGGCATGGTTTACTAAAGGTAAAGGGTACATGAGTAGGATTTGAGACTAAACAACCTGATAAGTGTCATTAAGACCTGTTAGAAATTGGAATAGGTATTGTTACTACACAATGGAAACATACTTCTTAAAGGTGGCGCATTGGCAAAATGGGGGCGACATAAGCAAACTCTATTTATCCCACATCTCTTTTAATTTGGTAAAATAGTCAAATATGCTAACTGATCCTTGTGTGCAAGAAGACAGAGTGCGATGCAAAGAATAAGTTCGTGTATCATCTGTCTTGTGAAAGTGCTCTTACAAATCAACCCAGATGAGATAAGCATTCTCAGAAAAGACAATCCCATTAGCTATTTGCTTGTCTATCGAATTCAGGAGCCAAGAGATTACCATAGCATTACATAGATCTCATTAACCACATAGCTTGGGATCTTGCTGCTCTTTGGTAAGGTGCCATTAAGAAACCCTAGCTTGTTCTTTCCAAGAATAGCAAGTGGGATGGCAAAACTCTAAACGATATAGTTGCTTGAACCAGTGAGTACTTGTGGGACTAGTGTTGATGTTTGTGTATCAAAAGGGTAAATATAAAGGGGGTGTTAAAAAATAATAGAGATGAAAGACGAAGATTATAAGTCCTTATCCTCAATAGTCATCTTGCCCTCTTCGCGTCATGAGATCTTTCTGCAAGGTCTCCGATGAAGTATAGGGATGATGGTGATGAGCATGATGTGAGAAATTAGGGTAAACAATGAGATTCTAAAACAGACCCAACAACACTTGACTCAACACAATATTTAATCAAGAAAATTCTCAAGATGATGTCTTGACTTAATGATGCTGTTTCTTTGATGAATATGAGATGACGTTTTAGATAGGTGAAGGAGAAGCCAGGCACAAAGTAATAGAATGGGCTTCAATCAAAAGAAATGGACTCTTTGGAAAATGGGCTCAAGGATACTTTGAACCTGCTTTGATGCCATGTAAAGAGCAATACTCACAATCCATAAAAGAATCAAAATACTTTCATTAAACCAATAGGCGCTCAGTCGAGTTGGAAAGGACTACAGCCGTCATTTCTTAGGGCAAGTGTTCGAACCCTAGGGAGTGACAGATGTGATAATTAACTCAACTTTAAAGAGGTCATCCCATCAGTATCTTGCTACCACTGTAAGGTCTTCTTGCGGGGGGTTTGAATTAGTTTGGGTAGGCAATAAATCCAAGATACCCCAGGATACCGGATGGTTTATATTAAAAAAAAAATACTTTCATTAATCCAAAGAGTTAGTTAGAATGTGCTTGGACTACATATTTATAGCCCTCAACCTTTGCATATACAATCATATATACAACCAACTAACTCAATAAGACTCAATAAATAAGACACGTGTAACATACGTGTAACACCTTATTCATCTAACAAAGTCAGTTCAAACATTACGTCAAGGATGAAACTCAGTTTATTATATATTACTATTTATTGTTTGGCATCTTTAGATTCCATGCTTTTATAATTTTTTTTCCTTTAACATTTTGTTGACAAATCTCATTTTTTTAACCTAGTGCATCAATTATATATATATATATATATACACTTTTTCCTTCTCATAAAACAAAGATTAGATTACACAAGCCTCCCCTTTGGAATTATATCCGGTTGATGAATTGGTAATCAATTTAATAGGTTACATGATATCACCATCGATCATCTGTGTGTATGTGCAGGCTGTGCCAGTGTTCCTTTCTGAAATTGCACCGACAAGAGTGCGCGGAGCAATGAATATATTGTTTCATCTCAATGTCACTATTGGCATTCTCTTTGCTAACCTCGTTAACTATGGCACCATCAAGTAAGTCCTCTGTTTTGATTTGTTCACTATAAATATGCTTCCTAATGATTGCTTATTAGGTGCAATGATAAACATTGAAAACTACAAATCATTTAATAGTCATATGTTTGTCAAGACTCAAATTACGGTTTTGGCTTAGGCAACTTCATGTTTGGGGTAGTTTGACCTGGATTAGTCGAAATTCATCATGACTTCTAAAAAATTGAATCACGTACACAGGGGTGAAAACTTGTGGAAAATAGCAATAAGTTATGTTAGATAAAGATCAATGTTAAAGCAAGTGATCATTTTGAAGAACCTATTGGGGCGATTGGATTGAACAGGATAAAAGGTGGATGGGGATGGAGAGTATCGCTGGGAGTGGCAGGAGTACCGGCGGTGCTGATTACGACAGCGGCATTGCTGGTGGCGGACACTCCGAATAGTCTGATAGAGAGAGGACACGTGGAAGAAGGAAAAGCTATGCTGAGAAAACTCAGAGGTACAGAAGACGTAGAGGATGAGTTCATATATTTGCTTCAGGCAAGCTAGGAGGCCAATCAGCTGAACCATCCTTTCTGCAACCTCTTCACTTGCCAGAACCGACCTCAACTTATCATCGCCGTCGCTCTTCAGGTCACTCTCTTGCTCTGCATCTACAAATCTCCATTTTATCTTTCTTCATTTCATTGTCTCAGACTTCAAAATGAAGTAGACACAATATGGATGAATCCTATCATCAGTAACCAGTGATACAAAAACAAATTTAGCAGTGAATTGAGATCTCCTACTGCACTTAAAATGTAAAAGAATGTTAAAGAGAAAGGCTTAGCGTATGGTTGAGACTATAGGATGGTAACGGAATGGTCATTAATCCAATAGATTGGAATGGGGTGTGACTTAGTGGGACAGAGAGGAACATGGGGAGTTTTATGTAAGGAATTTACAGTTTTATTTAATCATTATTAAAACATTATTTTAAATTTGAATTGATTATAATTATGTTTTTTCAGCTTTAGGATAAGAAGTAAAAGAATGTAACTAAAGAAGAAGAATGAGGATAATTTTATAATAATATTATTTATGTTAGGTTAATATATTCTCTGTCCCTCAGTCAGTGGGCTATGAAATAGTAATAAGTTTACAATGGTTAAAAATGGTTTTGAAGGTCATCCCAAACTAATCAATTTTTTTTTAAAATCTCTTAAATAATAGGCTAAAATGCATAAAATTTCACTTGAGGCAATTGCATATAACTTCTTTACCATTCAACATTTAAAATAACCACCTAATCTTTAATTTTTACTTTATTAATATAGTTATTGTCATGTTATATTAATACAATACATATGATACATGATATAGAAAAAAACTATTTTTATTACTCCCTTCATTTAAAAATATAAGGCATTTTTAATAGAATTTTATTTCTCAATAAAGTAGTTACCTACTTTTAAATTAACCTTATCTTTTTATATTTACCCTTATTAAACATCCTATAATAAATGCAAAGTCATTATTAATAGGGCTACTTTTGAAAAAAAAAAGGTAATGATTACACTTTAAAAGACTAAAAATACTTTTTATTTTTTAACATCCAACTCCTCAAAAAATGCCTTACATTTTTGAACGGAGAGAGTATCTTTTAACACAATTTAAGGAGCGGTAAAATTATAATTTTTACTTTTAATACATATGACAATGTTCTCATTTTTTTCAATTGAGCGACATTGATCTCATTGTTCACGGATAATATAATTTACGAGAAAAATTATAATTTTATTATTTTTCATCAATTAAAATAGTGTTTTACATTAAAAAATAAAAAATATCTAAAAACTATTGTTGATAAGAGTCATGTAAATAAAAAATTATTCTTTAACACAAGAAAACTATGATATTAAAGGATACAAATTTATCATTTAATATAAGAATCTGAAGAAAATAAATAAAATGGTATAAATTTTGTTATCTAGTTTATTTATTTTCTTTAGATTCTTATATTAAATAATAAATTTGTATCCTTTAATATCATATTTTTCTTGTGTTAAAGAATAAATTTTCATTTATATGACTCTTATCAATGATAGCTTTTAGATATTTTTTTATCTGTTTAATATAAAAGGCCATTTTAATTGATAAAAAATAATAAAATTATAATTTTCTCTTAAATTTTATTACACATGAACAATGAAAACAATTTCACTCAATTGAAAAAAAGTAGAGTATTGTCATATGTGTTAAAAGTAAAAATTAAAAATTTTACCCCTCCTTAAAGTGTGTTAGAAAATAATAAACATATTTTTTTCTATGTCACATACTATGTATATTGCATTAATATGATATGACAATAATTGTAGTAATAAAATAATAATTAATTAATGGTAGTGATTTTTGAAAAATAAAATTAAAGATTAAAGAATCAATTTTAAATATTGAAAGTGACTGAGGTTATATAGAACTATTTTAAAGTTAAAGTTAAAGAGAGTTTTATGTATTTTAACCTAAATTAATAATATAAAACTTTTAATCATACTATGTATTCCATTGCATTCTAAAAAAACTATTCACCTTTAAAGTTAAAGGGAGTTGTGTTTGAGATTGATTGCTCCACTCTTGTCGCTTGTTTTTAAGATCGAAGACCAGAATTATGTGAATGGTTTAGTTGAGATGTGGTCTTAGATATCATAGATTTGATGATCTTCAATTCATTTCTCTTTCACCAGGCGTGAAGGTAACAAAGTAGCTGATTTGTTGGCTACTGGTGCTTGTAAAGATGTGTAGTACCTTTTGGGGTGGATGTCAACAGCTCCAGTTCCTTTGCTTAATTTGTTAGCTATGAATGTCATGAGAGCTGGGTTGTCTACAGACGAGCATCTGCATTCAGATGATAGAATGGGTGTTGGCTTATCTCGCACTTTAGTTTCGCTGTTTGCTTCGTTTTTTTGATTTCGGCTTTGTTGTTAATTTGTTGTTTGTTTTCATTTGGTTATTTGCTTTTGGACTTTCATTGTTGCCGTGACTTTTATTATGGAGAATGAAGTGTTCAGTTGATCCCAAAAAAAAAAAAAATCGACCACGCTACAGCAGTGATATTTAAATTTCATGTCCAAAAAAGCAATGGCTTCGGCACTTCATTCAACCATCTTTGTCAAAATTGATTCTGGCAAACCTAGTCATTTTGCTGTATGTAAAAAACTTGTTGATCAAAATCTGTTCCTCTTGGCATTACAAACACAGATCTTCCAGCAATTTACAGGCATCCATGCGGTTTTGTTCTATGCTCCACTGCTCTTCACGATACTTGGCTTCAAAAGTGATGCCACCCTCTACTCCGCCGTGATCACCTGTGCCGTCAACGTCCCCTCTACCTTGATCTCCATCTACGCCGTCGACAAGGTCGGCCGCCGCATGCTCCTCCTCGAAGCCTGCATCCAAATGTTCCTCTCGCAAGCAGTCATAGCCATCATCCTCGGAATCAACGCCAAGGATCGGCCCGCCGACCTCTCTAAAGGCCTCGCCATCCCCGTTGTGATCATGGTCTGCACCTTTATCTCCTCATTCGCTTGGTCGTGGGGCCCACTGGCGTGGCTCATCCCCAGCGAGATCTTCCCGCTAGGGACTCGATCTGCAGGTCAAAGCGTCGCTGTTTTCATGAACTTCCTCTTTTCTTGTGTGAACACGCAGTCTTTTCTGTCGATTCTGTGTCATTTGAGGTATGGGATCTTACTGTTCTACTCTGGGTGGTTGTTGATTATGTCGTTGTTCATGATGGTGCTTTTGCCGGAGACGATGAACGTGCCGATTGAGGACATGGCGGACAAGGTGTGGAGGCAGCATTGGCTGTGGAAGAGATTTGTTGAATAAAAACAAGAGCGTGTTGATGATAATCAATTTGGAATGAATGACATGGTGATAATGGATTCAACAAAATGTAGAGTTCGTGTAAGAAATTGAAAGGAAATGGATCATGTAAAGTGTGGAAATGTATATCCTTGACTGACTACATTTCGTCGAGGTAGTGAATTCCTCATACTCTTGCTTCTTCTTCTTTTTTTATTTTTCCGATAAAAATAATTGGAAGCGGAATATGTAGGTCTTGTTCAGTGAATAATTAATGAAGGTGGTAGATTGAAGATATATGTAAAGACTTTGTATTATTATGCTAATTTATAAGGTTTGTTTTTTTTTTTTTTCCTTTGGTGGAGTTTTCATTGGATTCTTGGTATGAATTAGGAGACCAGAAACTGACGTGGGAATTTGAGTGAGCAGTTTTTGCCATGAAAAGCCACTTGTTCTAATTTGCTTAGGAAAAGAAGACACAACATAAAATAAAATAATAATTAAACTACAAGATATATATGTTCATTTATGTTTTCATTTTAAGACTGTTGCCATGAATTACAAGAAGAAGGACTAAAACTGGTGTTCGTGTATGTGTGTGTGTGAATTTGTGTAAGCAGTTTTTGAGTATAATCCTGAATACCACAATGTGATGAGAGTGACACATGAGATGTACAAGTCATGCAATGTTTCAGCAGGGACTCCAATAGAAAACTTCAACACAGTAAATGGCTCTATAAAGATCAACAATCATGGCCACAACTTGTTCATGTGTGGATTTCCAGGGCACTGCCAAAAAAGCCAAAAGGTTGATATCAATGTGATTAGGGCTTCTGCAACAAAATCTCCATCTCCATCTCCATCAACAATAGATGATGATGATGATGATGATTTTTGTTCTTGCCCTAACAAAGCTGTCCCTTCCATGGCTTCTTTAAACCTTATAGGACCTGTTATGTTAAGTATATACCATTTATTTAAAATTCAATAAAATATTGATAATTCACCTTTTTTTTCCTTCAAGGGGAGGGGTTGCCTGTGTTTCTTGTGATGAAATAAATTGGAGAAAATGACAAATAAATCTCATCGAAATAGGTAAATGACAAAATATTATAAAATAGGATAATTACTTTAAAGTTTCTAAAAAGTTATTTAACATCATTTTTGTGAAATTACATTTATGACCCTTAACAAAATAATAAAAACGTAGTTGTTAAAATCTAAATTGAAATTATTAATAACAAAGTTAAAGTTGTTAATATAAAAAGTATAGTTAATAATTTAATCGTGCAATAACGAACATGATTCTTATCTTAACAACTTCAGTTTAAATATTAACAATACTAGCTAATTATAACTTTAATTTATCTATGCAATAACAACTATAGTCTTTATATTAACAACTTTACTTTCCTAAGGACTTCAGTTTAGGTTTTAGCAATTATGACTTTTATTATTTTGGAGAAGATTAAAAACATAATTTTACAAAAAAAAATGTCAAATAAATCTCTAAAAACATTAGAAAAATTATCTCATTTCGTGGTATTTTTTATCATTTGCTTATTTGAATGAAATTTATTTGACATTTTCCCAATAGGCTATGACCTCAAATTTGTGTCTTTAAAGGTGGTGCAAAGTTCATATCACTTCATTGACAAGAAAACAAATTACAGATGTATTACAATGTTTTTAGAATTTACTTTCCCTAAATTTGGGGAGGTAAATTATCAAGCCCCTCTGACTGACATTTCTTCTAAATTCTCATCTGACAGCTTCCTTAATACCCCAAACCACATTATACTGTCCAGGCATTCTGCATAAGAAGACTTAAACCAACACATCATGAAAGAAATGGCAAGAATCCATTCCTTCTCATTCTACCAACTCCAGCCAGCTATGATGAATCTTCTTCCCTCTTTCTCTAGTTGATAATATACAAAATTTTTCAGGGCATGCTTTCTGCAAACCCCCAGAAAATGACTAATAATTGGGGATAGTATAACCATTCTAACATGACCAACAAAAACTATAAGAAAATGAGCTTCCAGGAAAAATGTAAGCTCAGAGGACTACTTTTAAAGGGAACTTTTTGAGTTGAATTCCTCATATATTTGCGGGCATAAGCCGGAAAACCATTAAGCAAATGAAGCTCAGTATCTGCAACCCTTGTCATCTTGTTGCAGAATCCTGCAATATGGAAAAAGAGAGTGAGGATTATAGTGTCAATTTACTATGGGCAGTATCTACGACCTGGTCAAATATATAAGCAACTGTGTATATGTTACAACCTTGGATTGTTGGTGAAGAACAAATATGAAACTGATGAAAAAGTTGAACTACAGAAATAACAACTTTAGGACAATACGGCTCAGTTCAACAATAGTAAGAGCACGAAAAATAAGCCTTATCACACCATAAGGGGCACAAAATATTAGGCGGCACAAGCTCAGTTCTTTGGGAATGCCAATTATTATTAGAAGATGGAAATGCAGCCTCATTTCATTGAGTTCATCTGACATTTTACAGGAAGCCGCAAGTTTTTCCGTACCCAGATCCCTCCACTCCAAATTTCTATCAGATTCATGCTCTTCTAACTTACAAGAAGGGTTGAACTTGGGAAAAGGAGATGCTTTTATTATAAGGGCCTTGCAGAGGCATGTGATACTTGCAGGCTTTAATTAACTGCTCATTTGTTTTACAGTTAATATTACCTATATTAAGCATTATCACTGCCTATTTGGATTTTGAGATGAATGAGTGAGATCAATTACTATCCAAGAAAAACAAAAAGACGGGATGTTTATACAATTTTCTGACTCCTGCTAGTTGAAAAGGTTGGATTGGATTTCCAGGAGGCTTCGAGTAGAACCCATTTTGATTTGGTTCCAAGGTAGGGGGAAGTCTCCACCATAAAACTAAACCAGAGAGCTTGTAGGTCTTAGTTGTGGAAGCCCGTCCATGAAGAAGGATTTGAGAACTTCTTTTTCAAGATAAAGAGAAACCAAATCCAATACGTCTCACTGTAGCTGAAACATAACATTACCACGAGACAACCGAAAACAAAAAAGCACATGAAAATTAAAATTTCCCATAGACAGACGGCTACACAACTTGGAAGAAAATTGAAGAATATATATTGAACGGAATCCAAAATCTCAATGGAGATCAAATTACAACACAAGCATGATATCTGCTCAACGGATCAGAATCTTTACTTTGGAGAGAAAAGTTGATAACGTTGATAACAAATTAACAAATTTTCGATTTTAAGACGAACAGCTATTGTTGAAGGAGCCAAATGGCACCGTAAAATTCATGTGGTATAATACTTGCTATTATTGTCGGCAAAATTAAAAATACAAGTTTTACCCACAAAATTTACAAATGAAATCTATAAATAAAAAGTAAAAATAAAGAAAAAGAATAATGATCATCAACCAATGATGGTTATGTTGAATAGAAGGGATTCAATTTTCCTTAAAGAAGATCAAAGAGGTCAAATCTTGTAAATAGGAAAGAATCAAGTTAGGAGAGCTACTTACAATTGGGTCCAACAATGCTTGACTCTAACTCAATAATGTCATATATCAAATAATTGAATAAAAGAGAAAACAATGATTATCATGAACTGAGTCGCATGTCTGTGCAATGTATAATATATGAAAAGCTCATCATACCATTACCGCATGGATAACCTCATTCATGCTCTAAAGCACTATGTAGAAATAAAAATCACTAAGCCACCAAATCATGGCTCTCAGACTTCATATATAATCTAAACAAACAGGAACTCACTTGAATCAAACAGATGTAACTGAGTGAACCATCATAAAGACATTACACTAGTTGGCCGGAGCTGTATTGTATTCACATTTTCTGTGTCCTGCCAACATATCAATCGCGAAGTAAAAAAGATGAAGGAGAATTAATTTTCTGTTGTTCCTATACAATCAAAAATTCAATGATCAGTGAGAAAGATTACCTCAATCAACAGATCTTTTCTAGTTATCAAACCAAGCACACAAGATGGGCGTGGAACAACAAATAAATGCCTCAAACCTAGTTGGCGGAAAAGATTGTAGACCTGTATCATCAACAAGAATTAAATGACTCTACGACAAAAAATGGAGAATGAAAGAAGTCTTTGAAAGATAAATATCACACACCTTAGACAAAGACATATCTTCAGGTACAATATAAGGTGAGGGGTTCAAAAATGGGGCCAGATCTATGTACTTTTCTAAGTCATCTGAACTTAGATGAATATCATTTAGACAGATTCCTTTACTAGAAATAGGCTTTGTGAATTCATCAGAATGATGCCTGAAAAGTATGATGAGCCTTCAGAATACAGAAGAAGACCAAATTAAAAGTGTTCATCAAGCATTACCTTATCAGGTTGGCCGTGCCTCTGGTATCACCAGGTATAGGAATATGCTGGAAATCAACCTTCGAATGCAGAATTACCAATAGATGACTGTACCCAAATATAGATATAGGAACTTTAAAATTCAATCAATGCAAGCTCATGAATTGAACGCCCAACCAAATACACAAATAGACAGAATAGAAGAAATTCATATTACCTCCGAAGCACTAATCCAATAACAAGTGATTCTCCACTTCTTGTGTGATCAATGACCTATGTATTGTAAATTAGAAAACAAAATTTAAACATTGAAGGAATTGAAAATTAAAAGAAGGTATCATTACAACAGCTGTACATACAGGAAAGCCATTGTGTTCATTGCTCCGAAGAATGGAAACTGCATCTGCAACTTTGACAACACGAGGGAAAGAGACCACCTTTGACAAAAATAGTTAAATATAAGATAATTTGCCAGAGGAATATTTTAAAATGCAAAGCCTGTGAAATATAAACCAATTGGAGCAAATACTATGACAAAGCCTATACTCTCACTCCCTTTCTGTCTGCCTTCTTTGTACAAAAAACCAATCAGATTCCTCACATTCTGAGGATGATCAACTACATAAATTCTTTATTCTTGCCCAGACCAAAAAGAAGAAAAAATATATATATAAAGCTGATCTCATTCAACATATGACAATTGACGACCTCATTTTCCTAAGACACGGATATTTGAAAGAATCTGGGATGACTAGTAGCTTGCTCCTTTCAAATTTGGTTGATACGGCCATGTTTTCTATGTTACTAAAGGTTTTGTTGCTGAAAACTTTCACAGTGCAACATAATTTACTTGACAACAAAAAATGGATAGGCAATTTCTTAAGAAAAAATCAAAGAACATGTACCCTTCTGCTCCCACAGGCCTCCTTTGCTGTCATATTCCGCATCTCATATTTAGGCCTTGATTCCAGCAATGGGATTCCCTTAAGTCGTGCCTGCTCTTCATAAAAGCCCTCATTAAAAGCATCACCAACAGCCTGTAATGGAAAATGCTTAGTGCTATTTAAACCGATTCCTTTGTAGACAGGGGAGTTCAAGACATATACCTTGGATATGAGGAGAACAAGCATAATAAGCGGTAAAAGTTGTAAGTTATTTGTTATTTCAACCATAATGACACAGAGAGACACTGTCATTCGCATGGAACCTCCAAGAAAAGATGCAGCTCCCAATAAAGCATACCTGAAGACAAGAAAAGCATCACATGTACAATTCAGGGCCAACAGAGAGCGCAGTGTGTTGCAAATTATTCTTAATAGAAGAATCAAGTCCTATACAAAAATATATACACCAGTAGAATACCATCTAAATGAAGTTCATATTTTTGCAGAAGAAGAAATTGTCAAGAAATTTTGAATAGCATCTATTGAGAACAAACAGATGGAACTAAAACTTCAAAAACGTTTGTATCCTTTTAATTACCACAGCCAAGTCATGTTTAGGATTTAGAAATCATTTTGGTCAGAGGACTATCCTCGCATGTTAAGCAGAACATAGGTAACGTAGCAAAATTAGACAGTAAACAGCTGAAACCCACTGTAGAGCACAGATAACTTGTTACAGGAAATTCTAATCAAGCTTGGCTTTAAAGAAATCCAAAGAATGCACCAGATTCTAAGGCAACCTCAATTCCCAACAGTAATCAGTGTATAAGTTAGCAATGATAAAAAGCATCTACAATTTTTATACAAAGTAATGATCAGTTAGTTATTTTGAGAACCACTAAAAGAAAAAGTCTCTCCATCTGCTTCTAAATGCATGACAAACTCCAAAAACCAAAGAAAAATGGTGCACAAGGAGCCTAGAAAAAACTATGGCACTTCAAAGGACAATGAAAGCAAAACCAGGAGGAAAAAAAAATACTGACAACAAAGGTCTGAGAAAACAACTTCTAAACAAATAAAAAAAGTAAATAAATGAATAAATAAAATAAATCTAACAAAAGCAAAGTAAATAAAATAAAGAAGCATGGGGAAAGTGGATGAAAGACAATAAAACAAGGACCCCCCTAATTTCTTCCTCCTGTCGCCCTTCAAAAAAAAAAGAAAAGAAAAATAAAAAAAGCATATTTCAAATGAATATAACCTAGTTCTCTAGTTCAAACCAAAGACTGTTGAAGAATGAAATGATGAGCTGTTTAACCACTCCTTTACATGAATAAAACCAACTCACAAAACAAATTCCTAATACTTGAAGATCTGCTGCTAAGGTCATAGCCCCCTCTCCAAAACACTGAGAGAAACAAAGCAGCCTTGTGTGGCTGCATGAAAATTTCAACGTGATGCCATAAACGCCAATTGTTATTCAAGGTTAAAGAGTGATGGCTAAAGATTGGGATAAAATCCATTCTTCTGGTAACACCAATCTCCTATTCAAGATTATAAAAAAAATGGTCACCATCTTAATCCCTCTTCTTGATAACTGTATAAAACATGTAACAGAAAAGCATCTATTGAACAATACCAACATCTTTAAGATGTCTTATAAACCTTACATCCAAAGCACCTTCAATTAAATCACCTCAATATGACTCAAATTTGAAGCATATTTATATGCAGCTATGGAAAATAAATTGTGATTGTTTTTTATCTTTAATTAAGGAACTAATGGCAGCTGGGAGATATTGCACCCATCTAACATTTTCATGTAGAGACAAATACACATAAACAGTGCAGCTCCATTAGCAGTCAAGAGAGAAGGATAGAATATATAATTGTCAGATATAAAGACAAACACATAAATCCCAAGGGGACCAACAAACATAGATATCTGACCACATGGTTGTCAGCTAGATCTTCAGAAAGAGAATGCATCTTTCTTAGGCACCAGAGAAAAGGATACTAAAAATGTAGTCATGTGTGCATGTGTCTTTTTTATCATGATTTTGAAGAAAAGCAATAAGCAAACACCCACGTTCCCTCTTCAATGTTGAGCTTTCTGTAATATTTTACAACAAGCATGCCAACGAGACGTCCATATGTTGATCCTATCATAATTCCAGGAACAAATTGACCAGCTGGAACTGCAGTACCAAATGTTACAACCGCTAAAGCATAGAACATTACCTGCCACATGTAAGAGAAATAAGCAATATAAAAGTAATTAAAGCATAAAACGTGCTGACTACCTCCCTTAAGTGGCTATACAAATAATACTCACGTTAGGAATGTCATTATTTTTATATACAAAAAAATAAATAAATAAATAACTTTTGTAGCAGGCTTATAAACTAGGAAGTATGGACGCCTGGACATAACATTAACTTGAACATGACAAAATAGCAAAATCTCAAGCGTCTTTCGATAACCAAAATTTTGCAACTGTAGAATCATGTCTGATATATCAAACATGGATACAGCTCCTCTTTTAAAGTGCCCAAACTTTATAACTTACTAAAAGTTAAAAAGGAAGGAAAAGACGGAAAATTTTGAGTTGACAGATCTATTCTTGAGAAAAAAGCTTAAACAAAAAAACAAAAAGAATCAGATACAAGTCAAACATTTCTCTTGCAATATAAAAAAGCAGGAGAACAAAATCTCCCAGGTATGAGAAGTCCAAAGCAATAGGTGAAGAATGCATTACCAAAAAGGTCAATAAACTTTGGGGACTGTACTCATGTATTGTTTTTGCACTAAACAAGTTCCTTATGGCGTCATCCTGAAACAAATGAGAAGTAACTTAATGTGTCAAAGGAGCTAGAAAAGAAAAATATACAAAGATTTCCAGAGATTCAATCAAAACCTGTGTATTGAAGAAAATTGTGGCAAGATCATTGTATTCCTTGTCTTTCCTACAGAAGAACTGAAAAGGGCAAAAAAAAAAAAAATCACAACTCAATCTCCAAGGCTTGGAGCACAATTTCAATCAACTTTAGAAATGAGATAGCATTTCAAAAAAATATTCTCTCTCCTTAATAATAGTTTGTAAAAAATAAATTTATGTGCATTTGACATCCTAGTTAATCCAGCATGACTATTTCTCACAAAGTTCTGGTTACACTATTTCAAAAGCTCAAGTCAGTAATTTTAAAGCTATAGGAGAGCAAAGTTTTTGCATAGTATTAAAACCTTCAAATAAGCTGTCAACCCTTGCTACCCTCATTCTCCTGATTAAATTAAAATTTTAGATCAAGGGTCAGCCTATTATGTCAGTAGGAGTTTTAGATTTAAACCTATTCATGTGCTGACACCTGACAACTTAAGCCTTTAGAATAGTTGGTTTCTCTTTCCCAGTTTTGTTTCAGTTTTGGTTTCAGATGTTCTTTGATGTTGAATCTTTCCATTTCAACTATCAAACTCTCTCTTTTAATCAACGAAGATTTATTATCAAAAGAGAGAAAGAAACAGAGAATAATATGTCCTCCTGAAAAAAAAAACAAAAGAAAAGAAAGACATGGAAAAATCAAAGAACAGACAAAAGAAAGACATCAACGAAGCAAAGCTTTTCCGTCTTTGTTTATCTGACAAGATATGAGGATTATAAAGATTGTGGCTAGATAAAATTGAAGCCCAACATAAACACTAGTTCAAACAAAAATTTTGAAAGAATAAAGAATCTCAAGGAAACATAAAGAAGAACAAACAGTCTTACATTTACATAATTCCCGTACATTCCAGGTGGTCGAGGACATTCAATAATAGAATCAGATTCAGGGCACGGACTACATTTTCTTAGTAGCGGCAAACCAAATGAAATAACTGAAGTTAACACAGAGACGAGGCATGCTTCAATGATCTGTAAGACAGAGGAAGGTATGAAGAGGACAAAATTGACAACAGCAAGGGAAAAATTGCATCCCGCAGATTAAACATCACTTCATGTACAATAACCTCTATCTTCATTTCAGTTCTTTCTTGTGTTCTTTTCCCTACATATCTTTTTCTCCCATTTATTTCAAATACGGAGGTTCTGGAGAAGATGGTGATAATTGGATCAAAGTCAACACCATACCTTGATTCGACCCCCTTTCTTGTGCAGATGATTTTGACGCCAAGAAGCCACATAAAGGGTAAGCTGGTTAAATAAGGCTCCTGCAGATTTTTTTCACTAGGTTAATGATAAGAAACTGAAATCACCAAATAATTTTAAGTTCAGAACAAAGGTGATAATGCCTACCTAGCAGTCCTCCGATAACCCCAATAACAGCCATGGGTAGTAACTCAGAAAAGGAATAATCCTCTTGACCACTAAAAGTAAAGCCAGTCAAAAAGGATTAAATTATAAGTGAAATTTTAGAACCCAATTGGAAGTAAGAAAAAGTAAAAGCTCATATGCTAACCCTGATATATCCCATATGATGAATCCACCCGAGCCAAAATGTCCACACTTTCCACTCTTACACCACCCCATTGCAGTACGCACCACAACAGCCACAACAGCAGAAGTGAAGAAGACACGCCACATCAGTTGACTTCTCCACCTTCAAGTTCACCCCAAAAGAAAAAAGTTAATGCACAACATTAGATTCTAGCAAAGGTGAATGTACATTTAGGAGCTTCTACAAATAAATAAACAAGTATATGCATATGTAACAAGATATTGAAATACGTATGTTTATACCAGTGTCAATGGATCTTTCCTCAATCCTCATATATGTACATTAACAAGTTATAACTATCGAAAAGACAAATATGTGATCTTCAAAGCACGTACTTCTAAATAAAGAGAATCATGTAACCAAGAATAAAAATGCTCTTACCAAGATGTTACCTCTTCCAATGCAAACAAAACACCACCAACTGGAGCTCTAAATGCAGCGGCTACTCCAGCTGCACACCCACAAGTTACCTGTTCAAGACGTCAATCACATAGGAAATGAGCACCTCCTTTGTGCTTTCAAGATTGGCGCAGGATTAATAAGAGATGGTATCCCCTATGGAATTCTAGATTAAAAGGACAATTAATTTACAAGATCTCGCTGATCCCGATCACTTTTGAATACTTGAAACCACCTTGAATTTAGATGATACTTGGCAGATCCGCCCTGCTCATTACATGGCATCAAAATGTTATTTCAGTCTTGTCATGCAGACAAATACACGTCTACAACAAAAAAGCTCATGAAGCTCAGCTTCAGAAGATAAAGTCCATTGGGATGCTAAATTTCATCCATATAGATCTATCTAACCGCAAACAAGACAGAATGTACCACAACCCCTTGAGATATCCATAAATTAATTTAGATAATGAACTAGAGATAATTGCACTGAACAATGGTTATGTTCAGAAGCCGAAGATGATTTCAGTACATTGGTGAGAATCTAGGAAGGGGGCAAAATCATGGCACAAGGCAGGAAAATCACATGTTTTGACTCTTGAAAGTGAATTTATAATAAAGTAGCTGCACCCCAAGCAACATGCACTGCCCTCGTTTTATGTTTTAAGAATAAAATCTTTCCTTACATTGTAATCTTTTAATAATATATATACACATTCACATCTGTTCATTCTTAATGCCATTAAATTCTCCATGATGATGGGTGCAATGGTTATAAACAATTAACTTACACCAACACGACCTAGAGAAAATAAAAACTATAACCTCATTTTAAATATTTGAGTTTGATAAAATATCGAAAAGAGATGGATGCAAAATCTAGTGCATCCAATATCTTAAAACTAACTTTAATATAACAACCTCAGTTCTTGCTCCCAAGTGGCCAACAAGGGGGCAAAAAAAAAAAAGAACAATTACGAAACAATAATGAGCACTGAAAAATATAGGCTTACTTGTCCAAGCAAAGAAGCAATACAAGCACCAGTATGCACAAGAGGACCTTCTTTACCCAAAGCAAGGCCACCTCCCACTGAACCAATGCTTCCAAATATCTGTTAACCACTAGAGGAATCTTCAAATTAATAGCAAAAGCATTGACCTAGAGATTATTAACCAAAAAGAAAAAGTACAATGCAAATCATCACACCTTTCCAATCAAGGTTCTGAGAAGGAGGATTCCATGAATATCAACTCCTGCTTGTAAATGAGAATTAGTACTCCCAACATGAATGAAACTTATAGAAAGTAAGGGGAACACATGCAGAGACACTTGTAATGTTCATCTTACCATTCAAGTAACCCTTAATTTCAGGAATACCAGATCCAGCTGCTGCTGGAGCAAATTGTGTGATAATATATACAGAGGAATAGACCAAAACCAAGTTGATCAGGACATATACCAAAAAGCCCACCACATACGATTTCTGAATTATATGAAATGTCAATGAAAACTTCCAGCCAGCGAAGTTTTCAACAGAAATATTGATGAAAACAGCAGCAATTCCAGTACCTGCAAAAACATTGGATGAAAAGTTACATACATTATCAACAAAATTCTAGCACATAATACATGAAAAAGCTAGGGGTATACTAGGTACATGTAAGGCATTCACATCACTGAGCTTTATGCCTATCTCCCCCCCCCCCCTATGAATAACAATCAATCTCTCCGAGATACAGGTGCCTGCCACCTATAAAGGTCTGAACAAGGTTGACAAAAAATAAGCTTTGTAAATTTAGATATAGAAACAAGGAACTATCAGATTAACTACAGACATTTAATTATCAAACCCTCTAAATTAAATCTCTCTCAACGTCATATTTCTTAGCCTTTTGAATTCACTGGCACCATGAATCAAGTCCTTATGCACATGCCAGCATGGATTTTATCAACATTTCTGTTAATTAATTAGTTAGATTATATATGGCACAAAGCAAAATAATAATAATAATAATAATAATAATAATAATAATAATATGTTAGCTATAATGCTTTAGTGCACAAAACGGGAAGGAACGAAAAAGGAAATAAACGTGAAAAGAAAACTTAGAATCGAAAAAATATCATCATATCTGCATTAAAATAATAATAGATAGATAAAAAAAGAAAAGAAACGATTAAAAATAAATACAGACGCAAGATAATCAATTATCAATTATTTTAAAAAAAACAACAAGGATCTTTCCAACCACATACCAAACGACAAACGAGAATAGTTAAAACATTGCGATTCAGAATCAGTTCCCACAAAATTGAAACTTCCGGAAAATATAAGGTTGAGATAGAATTCAACGAGCAAGAAGAACATACCAACGCCTATGAGCAAAGCAAAGAACCATTTCACCACCAACAAATAGCCCATATACAGCTTCCCTCTTAGCGCCTATCAATATCAAAGTACAGAAAAATAATCATTTAATTAACCAGAAAAAAAAAAAGATGCCGCAAAAAATCCAAGCATAATTGAACTAGAATGAAACAGAAACCGAAATAGCAAGAAAGCTGGAAGATAATCAGAGGAACCTGTTCTTCTCGATAAGCATAATTCTCTATGACTTCATAATCAAGGCTCTCAACGCCGCTTCCGTCACTCTTCTTCAACAAGCCAAGAGTGTCGTCCTGGTCTTGGGATTCCTCCGAGTTCGGAATTCGCGACCAAACATGCTTCGCCGTTTCAATACCGTTCTGGAAATGATTTGCCAACATCGTCGTCAATCAGGATCAAACGCCCGACCAAAGATCACGACCTAGAAACCCAAAATCCGCACGGCATAGTCCTAATTTCTTTGAAATCGAAGAAACAGTAACACGTAAAAGGCGAGAAGTCGCTGCTCTTTCTTCCAAATGGCGCAGCAAAGAACACAGAGACAAAAGTAGCTCAGTGTTGCGGAGTGACAACACTTGGTGTGCTAGTTCATCGTTTTCCACGATGAGTATGGCTCTTCCAGGTTTAGAACGTGGAAGTTCAGCAAATTACGCGGAAACGGTGTACGATGGAAGTTGGTTGGCGCCACAATCTCGTGTGCAAGTTACGATTCGGATTTTCCAGTTTGTCGTGTGCCATACAGCCAAACGCAATTAGTATTTACGATCAACGGCTAGTGAATTTTGTTGATCTTGCACCTATTTATTTTTTTATTGGCGTGGCTCCGAACCAAATGACGCGTGATTTTGCACGAGTCTTCCACGTTATTTGACCCAGCCAGCGTCATTGTCCCAGCCAGCTTACATCTTTTGTTCAATTTCTATAAATAATTAATTCTTCAGAGCCAGAAAGAAAAACAAATAATTATTCTCATTTTTATATTTCTACAAATAATTATGAAAAAAACTTTATTATTAATAAGGGAGATGGGTTTACAGAATGTGAATGTGGAAAGAGATTGTAGAGTTTTGTTTAATATTGTAACTAAAGGTGTTGCTGTAGGTTGTGATTGGAAAAGTGCTAGTGTTATTAAAGACACTCAAAGCTTAATTCATGAGTAATGGACTGTTCTCCTTCCTTCGAAAGCTGCCGCAAGGAGGAACCTCCTCCTCATCCCAATGATGATCGCTTCATCAAGGAAGTAAAAATTTGCGCAAACCATGATGAAGCTGACGCAATGGATGCTGACTTTTCTTCTCCTTCATCTGATGATGAGATGCACGTCTCCACCACTCTTGTTCCCGAGATGGTTCCTGAAACGCTAGAGATCACTATTGCTATGATGTTAGTTGTTGAAGCCCAAAAAACACAAGTGTTACCACCCTTCAAGGATAAGTTGCTCAACGCAGATCATAAAAGTACAGAAGAGGATGATGATGAGGTCAAACTTGCACAGGACGACGTGATCATCAGAATGTCTAAAGGTATCCAACGATCAATTTCTCAACCCATATTCTTGCGGTTCTCAACAAGAAGATGGGTTTGCCAAACTTCTGGGGAGGCAAATCAACCATCGAAGGCTCAAAAGACAACTGCAATACATCTGGAAACCTACTGGTTAGTTCCAATTGACTGACCTCGATGAAGAATGTTTTATTATGAAGTTTCAAGAGGAATCTGATTATCAAAAAGTGCTTCTCACTAGACCCTGGCTTGTTTATGGACACTACTTATCCATACAACCATGGATGCCAACATTCAAACCACATGATCATACAAGTAACCAGGTCATTGGTTGGGTGTGTTTACCAGGCTTACCTACTTGGTATTATCACAAGAACATCATTAGATTTATTGGAAGCATCTTTGATCATGTAGTTCAAGTCAATTACAATACAGATTTTGGAGACCGTGGGAAATTTGACAGGCTTGCAATAGTCATTGATTTAATCAAGCCATTAACCTCCAAAATTTAAGTGGATGGAGAAATAATCTATGTTAAATATGAGGGTCTGCCAACAGTTTGTTTTCACTGTGGCCGTTATGGCCACTTGGAAGATCACTGCTCGGAGAAGACAAAGGTTATGACCATGGAACCATTAGAAAAGGTCATTGACGCCCCAAAGCAAGATGCCCGTACAAAAGAAAAGTATGGATCATGGATGCAAGCTCTAGTACCCCTACGGTACAAACACAGGTATGACAAAAGAGGCAGAAAGGACGATCACAATGGTGGTAAAGGCATTGCAACATCCTCCAGGTTTGGCATGCTCATTGATGCGGACAAGTCTAGTGCACAAGGACAAGAGATATATGAGGTTGTCAAACCTACAACTAATAGGGCAACCACTACTCTAAGGCGAACCGTTAAGGAGACAAAGGAAATCAAAAGGACAACAGTGAGGGACAAACAAAAAGATAACTCTACAATGCCACCTAGCAATGAATGCATCTTCAACACAGCTACCTATAAAGCCACGCAAATGACCACATCTCTAAACAACTCATGTCACACAGCTGTCATCATCCAAGATGAGAGAGTTAGCCCATAAAAGCAAGCCTAAGACATCCAAAGATGAGGCTAACTACCTATTTCTCAAGCCCAACCTTTGGTGTCTGGACAATTAATTCCTCAACCCAAACCCCCAAACCCTAAAGTAGAAAAGCGTGGCATGCAACTGTCCGATGGGATCCAAATACATAAACTTTAGGATAAACCCAGTGGAAACGGTATAGGACCTTCTGTTCGAGTAATGAAAGAAATTGCAAGAGGAATTCATGAGGATGCTCCAGAATACGAAAAAGATGAGGCAATAGCCATGCCTGTGGAGGGGGTAGATTTTAGCTCTAACCTAAAGCAATAATTTATCCTTCTTTATGTCTATCATCACCTAGAACTATCAAGGAGCCTTAAATAAAAGGCTCCCTTCTATTGTTAACTCTTTTGTCTCTAACTTTAAAATAGAAATTTGTTATTGTAGAGCACGTATTTCAAGGATAATGGTTGATAAGGTAATTAAAAAAATCGATCTTCCTCACTCTCAGAGTTAAAGCCTCTAGATTCTCGGGTGGCATTTGGCTCCTTTGGACAAATAATGTTGATGTCAATATTATTGCCAATCATGCTCAATTTATACATATGGAAGTTCTTCATCCTGCTTCTAGGAAAAAGTTCTTATTTTCATACGTTTATGGAAGCCCCTAAGCCCGCTGGCGTAAGCTTTTATGGAATGATCTCTCTAATATTGCTCCTTCTCCAAATTGTCCATGGGTTTTAGCTGGAGACTTTAACGCCACTTTATCAAGTACTAACAGACAAGGAGGCACGGGATGCATTAATGGTGGCTGCAATCTTTTTCGCCAATTTTTGAATCAGCATGGGTTACTTGATTTAGGCTTTAATAGCCCAAAATTTATATGGAGGAGAGGCACTCTTTTTGTCAGACTAGATCGGGCTCTTGCAAACCAATCTTGGCTCACTTGCTTCAACTCTTATTCAATGGACCATCTACCTAAAATACTTTCGGATCATCGGCCTATTCTAGTTAACTTGACTTCTTGTATGAATAGTCAGATTTTAGATAAGCCTTTTAAATTCCTTGCTTCCTAGACCTTGCACTCAGATTTCATAAACTTGATAAAGAGCTATTAGCCCTAAGATAATTGCATATGGGCTAATATTGAAGCTTTCACTTCTAAAGCCAAGGAATGGAACACATCAATTTTTAGAAAGGTTGGAAAGAATAAACGCCGACTTTTATACAAACTATTGGGTATTCAAAAGAAACTTGAACACGCTACCTTCTCACCTTTTCTCATCGATCTTGAGCAAGTGCTTAGGGAGGAATATGAGGAAACTTGCTTTCAAGAGGAATTATTATGGCTTCAAAAGTCTTCATCTGATTGCCTTTGTTTGGGAGACCGTAACACTTCATTCTATCATACAAAAGCCCTCATTCATCAATGGTCAAATTGAATTTCTCGACTCTGCACAGACCAAGGTGATTAGGTCTTGAATGAGAAGCAACTAATGGGCATGGCTGTAGACTATTTCACAAATCTTTATTCCCTCACTAGTACGACCTTTCATCCATGCCCAATCTCAAGTGTATTCCCCAGGATTCCTAATTACATTCTTCTTAACTTAGATAAGATGATTTCTATGAAAGAGGTCAAGCATGCACTTTTTGAAATGAAGCCCCTGAAATCTCTTGGTATTAATGGCCTCTATGCCCTTTTTTTCCAAAGTCAATGGGGAATTATGGGGTACAGCTTTTTTGATCTAGTTCAATGTTTATGGAACAGTGAGAATTTGGATCCTATTTTGAATCGTACCTTAATAGCTCTAATTCCTAAAATTAACCAGCCCCAATACCTTAAGGAATTTCGCCCCATCAGTCTTTGCTTAGTGGTATATAAGGTGGTTATTAGAGTATTGGCCAATCACCTTTAACCCCTTATGGCTGCAATTATTCAATCTTATTAGACTAGCTTTGTCCAAGGTAGAAGTATAATTGATAATATAATCATTACTCAAAAAGTCATGCATTCTATGTGAAAGAAGACTAAGGGAAAGGGCTGGATGGCAATCAAAGTGGATCTAGAAAAAGCTTTTGACAAACTTCGGTGGGATTTTATAGAAGATACACTTAAAGATGCTAAGATTCCTCCCCGTATAATCAATCTTATTATACAGTGTCTTACCACATCCACAATGCAAGTCCTTTGGAATGGTAAGCCATCTCTATCATTGTCACCTAAAAGAGGTATTAGACAAGGTGACCCTTTCTTATGATACATCTTTGTCTTATACATTGAAAAACTCTCCCAAGCAATCATTGTTGAAATGAATTAGAATAATTGGCACCCGATCAAGATGGGACTTAGAGGTGTACCTTTTTATCACTTATTTTCTGCTGATAATCTAATCTTATTTGGTGATATGTCTACCTCTCAAATGGAAGTAGTTAAATGAGTATTGCAATAGTTTTGCTTGTCTTCAAGATAATCTGTGAGTCATGCTAAAACTCAAATTTATTTCTCCAGAAACGTCTCATCTATTACAAGGAATTTCATCCACCAAAATTTAGGCTTTCAATGCACTGAATCCCTTGGTCAATACCTTGGGGTGCCTCTCATCACTAGTAAAGTTAGCTCACAAACCTATAATTACATTATTGAAAGACTCAACCAAAAGCTTGCCAAATGGAAAAGTCAGTCCCTCTCCTTAACTAGGCGAATAACTATTGCAAAATCAGTTATTGCATCCATTCCATTTTACACAATGCAAAGTATAATGCTACCTACCTCTTGTTGTAATAACATCAAAAAGTTAATTAAGAAATCAATATAGGGCTACACTGCTGATCGTCGTGGCATTAGTTTAGTAAAATGGGAAGAGCTTTTTCAACCAATCCGCAATGGAGGATATGGACTCCTGTCTCTTGAAACTCAAAATAGAGTCTCTCTAAACTGGCTTATAAACTTATTGATGAGCCTAGTAACCTTTAGGTTCGAGTAATTAAAGGTAAATAACAATTTTAGAATGGCATAATACAAGATATTAGCAAAAAACATTGCTCCCATTTCCTTCAAAATAGTACTAAAATCTGGCAAGATACGATGATGCATGTTCAATGGAAACCAGGTAATGGTAACCATATCAGATTTTGGTTTAACTATTGGGTAGGCAAATCAGGA